ACTAAGTTCAATTTTTTTTTGTATTTCGAAATAGATAGATCTACTTATAACTGATTGTTTATGAAATGCCATCGAAATTCCCCCAGAATGTGGTTACACACACAGTGGTATAGAGAGAGCAACTGAAGACAAAAGTACAGCAGTCGGGAGGGGGAAGGGTTCACTGGTGAATCCAAATGGAGTAGACTAGAAACATTACTGGGGTGGGGGGGGGTGTCACTGGTGGAGTAGACTAGAACCATAACTGACACAAACAAAGCACGTGACTGTGGTGCCACTGTGTCAGGCTGGAAGAATCTAACACGGAGATTCTAAATGAGACGGCGGCGGTCATCGGGGACCTATAAGTGACCTTTATATAAGTGACCTTTAGCTGGTACATAGCCTCTAGGGACGTGCGGAGTCGTGTAGCTGGTTGTGGGACTGACAGAATATGACTTGGTTCTGTAGACTGACAAAATATGACTTGGTTCTGTAGACTGACAAAATATGACTTGGTTCTGTAGACTGACAAAATATGACTTGGTTCTGTTGACTGACAAAATATGACTTGGTTCTGTAGACTGACAAAATATGACTTGGTTCTGTAGACTGACAAAATATGACTTGGTTCTGTAGACTGACAAAATATGACTTGGTTCTGTAGACTGACAAAATATGACTTGGTTCTGTAGACTGACAAAATATGACTTGGTTCTGTAGACTGACAAAATATGACTTGGTTCTATACACTAACGTGATATGACTTGGTTCTGTTGACTGACAAAATATGACTTGGTTTTGTAGACAGACAAAATATGACTTGGTTCTGTAGACTGACAAAATATGACTTGGTTCTATACACTAACGTGATATGACTTGGTTCTGTTGACTGAAACAATATGACTTGGTTCTGTTGACTGACAAAATATGACTTGGTTCTGTAGACTGACACGCTATGACTTGGTCCTGTTGACTGAAACAATATGACTTGGTTCTGTAGACTGACACAATATGACTGTTGATTGACACGATATGACTTGGTTCTGTGGACTGACACAATATGACTTGGTTCTGTTGACTGATACAATATGACTGTTGACTGACACAATATGACTTGGTTCTGTTGACTGATACAATATGACTGTAGACTGACACAATATGACTTGGTTCTGTTGACTGAAATAATATGACTTGGTTCTGTTGACTGACACAATATGACTTGCTTCTAGCCACAGAGTATAACATGCCAGCTAGAAGACCAACACGACAAGACGTCTAAGTGAGCTAATCGAGAAATCTGTTTTCTGCCCCCACCCCCATCCCTACCCTACCCGGATGTGACAAAAGGCGTGACGTCCATACCAAGAGTTGCCCTAATTTTGTTTCCCCCGTGTGGGTGGGGAGGGAATCGGAAAACATTATTTGGTTTTATTTCTGTGTGGTGGTATTTATAGGAACCATGTTAAAACTGTGTGGTGGTATTTATAGGAACCATGTTAAAACTGTGTGGTGGTATTTATAGGAACCATGTTAAAACTGTGTGGTGGTATTTATAGGGCCATGTTAAAACTGTGTGGTGGTATTTATAGGAACCATGTTAAAACTGTGTGGTAGTATTTATAGGAACCATGATAAAACTGTGTGATGGTATTTATAGGAACCATGTTAAAACTGTGTAGTGGTATTTATAGGAACCATGTTAAAACTGTGTGGTGGTATTTATAGGAACCATGTTAAAACTGTGTAGTGGTATTTATAGGAACCATGTTAAAACTGTGTGGTGGTATTTATAGGAACCATGTTAAAACTGTGTGATGGTATTTATAGGAACCATGTTAAAACTGTGTGGTGGTATTTATAGGAACCATGTTAAAACTTCAGGGGAATGAACTCTGCTGAATGAAATCTGAACGTCAGATTTTGGTTCCATTGAGTGAGTTATCCCACTGTTGTATCCGCCTGGGGCCCTTAAATTCCCTAAACTAATCTCCGGGCTCACTGGCAACATATTATTTGCCTTTGTTATATTAAAGCAATTTCTAAAATATAGTTACACACTACTTGTAACGTTTAGTAAAATGTTGACAGCGGAAGGAAAACTTTGGACCCTCCAGATTCTTTAGAAACATTTAACTAGTAGGCTAACACTTATACTATAAGTTATAGGCTGTAGACTTGTCGCCCTCTCAAGGCAAAGACCTCTAAAACCGCTTCACAAGGCCTCTCTATCCTGTCCTGCTTGATCTATGACCAAAACATGAGCGTACAAGTACATGAAAACTGCTCTAATACAGTCCAATCAACAATCACTTTAGCCAGCGTCAATCTAATCAAAACAAATATTTGTCGTGTTATTGTGTAAATGGCAGGTTATTGATCATAAAACAGAATTGTCCGATAACAGTAAAATATATCTTCAGACCTGACGGTCCATGGGTGAGAAGAAGTAGAGCTGATCGGCATTTGAAGATTGTAGAGATTGTGTGTTGGGAACTAAGTCGGCCACTTTTATTTTCCTATGGGTGTCTATTAACTATGGGTGGCCATTAACTATGGGTGGCGATTAATTATGGGTGGCCATTAACTATGGGTGGCCATTAACTATGGGTGGCCATTAATTATGGGTGTCCACTGAGATGGGTTGACCCAGACACAAACAGACATTTCTTGTCGACGTCCCATGTTGCTAGCTAGATCGCTTGTAATCTTCTAATCCTCACAACTCAAGTAACGGATCCTTCCATACTCAGTAGTTTTTACATCCAAACAATCACACTTTTTATATATAACCAAATGATCACAGGCAGTAGGAAGAGAGACAAAAAAAATTGTTTTAACTGTGTTTTGAGCGACTAATGTGAACGGAAACCTCGAATAAGATGTTAGCTGTGTTTGAGCGACTAATGTGAACGGAAACCTCGAAAAAGATTTGAGCTGTGTTTATTCCCCTGTTGCTGCATGTTTTTACTTAGCTGGAGACGAGACCTACAGACTCCCAGTGGCGTCACTAGATCGGGCGTCACCCGGTGCGGTAACAATTCAGTTTTTTTCTACCTTTTTTTAATTTTACTGGACAATGAATTGTTTAGTAAATACATCTTTTCAACTTTTCGCTTTGATGTCACCCGCTAAACCGTGTCATGCGGTGCGGGCCGCACTCCCCGCCCCCCCCCCCCCTTGTGACGCCTCTACAGACTCCAATTTTCGTCGTCAGACGTTCAGAGACTCCGACTCCTAAAGCCCTGAAGACTGTGTAGTCTGGTTTACATGTGTCTTATGGAATATTTTCTATTGTGTAGATGACGCAGACGCCGACTCCTAAAGCCCTGTACAACGTGTAGTCTGGTTTACACGTGTCCTGTGTAAATGATGCACCACCCCGCACCACTGTCACAGTACGTGTAGTCTGGTTTACACGTGTCCTGTGTAAATGATGCACCACCCCGCACCACTGTCACAGTACGTGTAGTCTGGTTTACACGTGTCCTGTGTAAATGATGCACCACCCCGCACCACTGTCACAGTACAACGTGTAGTCTGGTTTACACGTGTCCTGTGTAAATGATGCACCACCCCGCACCACTGTCACAGTACGTGTAGTCTGGTTTACACGTGGCCTGTGTAAATGATGCACCAACCCGCACCACTGTCACAATACAACGTGTAGTCTGGTTTACACGTGTCCTGTGTAAATGATGCACCACCCCGCACCACTGTCACAGTACGTGTAGTCTGGTTTACACGTGGCCTGTGTAAATGATGCACCACCCCGCACCACTGTCACAATACGTGTAGTCTGGTTTACACGTGTCCTGTCTAAATGATGCACCACCCAGCACCACTGTCACAGTACAACGTGTAGTCTGGTTTACACGTGTCCTGTGTAAATGATGCACCACCCAGCACCACTGTCACAATACAACGTGTAGCCTGGTTTACACGTGACCTGTGTAAATGATGCACCACCCCACACCACTGTCACAGTACAACGTGTAGTCTGGTTTACACGTGTCCTGTGTAAATGATGCACCACCCCGCACCACTGTCACAATACAACCTACCGGGTCAGGTCTGATACGACTGGTAACAGCTGTTTTATTTGCTTGTTTTTATTTTGTTATCCAAAGCACTGAAACTAATTGAAATTCCATCCTTATTCATATGTTAAATATAAAAATAGAATAAAAAGTCGTTATCAAACAATTATTCTTATAAATGTAGCTTAAGGCATCGGGGGGAGGGAGGGGTTATATATTTGCACTAGGGATAGACTCCACACAAGGGAGGTAAAGGGTTTAGGCATCCAGTCAGTTACATCCAACATGGTAGACATAGCAAACATTAATATCCCTCAACCCCCACACCTATTCATCTAACGACACCACTACTCCCCCCGACCCGTCCCACATGTTCATACTACTACCCCCCCCCCCCTATTTCCATGTCCACTAAACCCCACTGTAGGTGTAGGCTTAATATTGCATCACACCAACAACAATTGTGTTAAGGTTTGAATAAATATTTCCCTTACTGAAGAGAACCAACTAAACAAATCTGCAAAGGTTGTATTAGAACCAGACAAGTGGGTGAGGAAATATTTCCCAAGGTCCGATCACAGTCTAGAAGAGTTGAAACTAGGCCAACAGAAATGTATGAATGAATGGCAATCGGTGGAGATTTCCTTTTGTGTTTGAGTCTACCCACCTTCAATATTTTAAAATTCTCAGTTGTGACAAAAAATAATCAATTAAACCCAAACCAAACCAAAATTATGTGAAATTCAAAACCATCTATGTATTAATATATTATAATATATCCCTCTCTCTGTATAAAAAGTTAGATAACTCAGAAGAAGGGAGGTAATTAAAGGGAGTATTGGTGTGAGATAACTAGCCTAAATGGAGGTGGCTGAGCAGATAAAGATTACATCTCAGATACTGAGTAGAGATTCAGGTGATTATCTCCATAGACAGACTTACAAACTTAATTACTTAATTCACATTTTTTTTTTCATTTTTGCACAAATTTATTTTTAAAATAAAACAAAAATAAATTACATTATTTGTTAAATTAAAATTATATACAAAATTGAAATAAATGTCATAAATAAAAACAAATGTTTACAAGTTTGAAAATTTCAAAAATCACACTTTGCAGTCATTTTTTTTACCATAAAACAATGTAGGTAAAACTAATATTAGACACTCCAGTGAGTGTAATCTTCAGGGAGTGTCACTAGTGAGGGTTGCACCCTGACTCACCACTCACAAATTGCTGACTCTCATTAGTGTGGGGATTTACAAATAAATAACAAACAGTACATAAAAGGTCGGGGGTCAATGCTGATTAAAAAGGGAAACAACAAACACAAGCAGATTTTAGAAGCTTACAAGAAAAACAAAATGTTAACCAGTTCAAGGAAGAAATATTAGGTCATAAAAAATGTGAATAGTATTTTGGTGTACTTGAAAAATTGGAATGCAATATTACTGGTGGTTTCTGAAACATTTTTATAAGTGAATGAATGCAATATCAATACACATGTGTGGACAAATAAATTGCCTTCATCACAGCAGTTATCTGCCCCTTGCAAAGTTATTTCTTAACATTGACCTAAAAATTAAAAATATAATCGCACAATTCTTTTAAACATAGCAAGAATTGAATGGCAACCATTTAAACAACACAAGATCTTTTAAACACTATCCGATATCATTTAAACACTACAACATGTCAGCCCACAAGAACAATATCAAATCAAAGTCTGGGATTTATAATTACACAGGGTCAATAAGATAGGAAACAAACTAGAAAACTAAGATTAATTAGTTATATTCTCATCAGGTTTCATTATACCGCGTTTACACTTGCGACATGTATACTATACATGTCTAGAAAAAAAAAACTTCGCAATAAGTGAGTAGGCTCCCCTATTATCTTAGGCCCTTTTTTTTTCTAGACATGTATAGTATACATGTCGCAAGTGTAAAGCGGTATTAGAATTTCATAATAAACAATAAATTTTAATATCACTAAACAATCACTACCAAATAAGTTAAATTCAATAATTAAAAAAAACACATTTGATTTCAGATTGGGATGACAAAATACATTCAAAGATTAGTAGTTTCACATGTTTTATAACTGGAATTGTATTGCACTTGTACATAGCATTAAATAAACAATCTTTATGACATCAGACAACAAAAGCAAGCTGACCACTTAAATACTCTTCGTTAGCAGACTCTAGTTTAAACTTGAGCAACAAAATGCCACTGTCGTTAATTAAAATTTTTAATAATTGATTCATCAAGTTCTTATAAAAGAAATAGCATGAATAATATTCAATTATAATTGATTCATCAAGTTCTTATAAAAGAAATAGCATGAATAATATTCAATTACAGCTTGAATAGTGACAGCCAATGAAAATTTGGAATGATTTTCACACATCACATTGTAGTTGTAATCTGCTTACATTATTTTCATGAATGATTACACAGGTGTTGAAAGGTAAACTGCTAATATTTTATTGTCTTGCCAGCCGTCCAGCAGGATTTGAATTGTTCAAAGCCAGGATCATTTCTTGTATGAAACTAGAGAAGATACATTAGAAATTGTTATCAACAGGATCATTTCTTGTATGAAACTAGAGAAGATACATTAGAAATTGTTATCAACAGGATTTCTACTCATATAAAGCATGCTGCTATTTATTGTGTGAAAATTATAACTGGTACTTTAGAGAGAATTATTACAGTTATGAATTGAAATGTAAATATTTATTCAGCAAATAAAAAGTATGTACTTGCCTTTTAGAGTTGAGGATTGATGTCCCACCAAGTACGATGCGCACCCCCGGCACAGTCCTGTTGAAGTTATGGACCACTAATGCCTCCTCGTAGGTACAGCCACCAACAATGAACACTATGATATCTTGTGGTCTAAAGATAAATGTAACTTTGTAGACCTAACTACCCAATGTGGACAACAGTTGATATTATTATATAATAATTTTCACAATACTACTACTACAGAAGAAAAAATATGCCCTGAATTAGTTTAGTTAAAATCAGTAAGAGTTGAAAATGTTAATCATCAAAGATACATAACCTACTACAAAAGGTTCTTCTGTAGAAATAAATGTTTAGTACTACTCATCTCCCTTCAAATTATTTATGCAAAACTTCCAAAGTTAGGACTAGCAGAAATGATTAGTTTTTTACTTTCTCGTATATACGAAGTATAGAGAAAGTATTGTAATCGTACACAAAAATAACATGAAATTTTGACAGTTTTCACCTTTTTACTCCTCAGTCTTTCATCACATACAGAGTATAGAGGACTTATTTTAATCAGGCAAAAGTTATAAATACAAATATATAAACGTTTTGGCGTTTTATGCGTTATCGAGTCGTAAAAACTGGACTTTGCAATTCTGTCCGTATGTCTGTGTGTCTGTCTGTGTGTAAACACGATAACTTGAGCACCGTTACAGCTAGGTTGATGAAATTTCATATATAAGTATTTTATCAAAATCGTAGATCCTCATTAAGTTTTGAGCGATTTCCGATAACCGGAAGTGGTACTTTTTCTACTTTGAAGTTTTCAAAAGCCTATAAGTTGCGTACTATTTTAGATAGATGCATGAAATTCACACGTAAGTAAAAGATCTAATTCTCTACCTTCTGTCAAATTTTGAGTAATTTCCATTGACCGGAAGTACTAATTTACGCTATTCCCGATTTCTCAAAAAACGCATGTAAATTTATAAAGTACTAATAATATCCAGCACTTTTATACACATTTTATTAGGCGTTCACTTGGTGTGGGACGGAGTGGTCTAGCGGTAGAGAGCTGGACTGCCAACCCGTTAATCTTGAGTTCGAATCCGAGTTCAAGTCAGTAGACCGTCCCCGAGTCCACCCAACTCTGATGGGTACCTAACTCCTGTTAGGGAAAGTAAAGGCTGCTGGGCATAGTGCTGACCACACTATCTCTTCATATGCCGAGGTCACAGAAACAAGTGAACTCTACTTCACTTGCCCCATAGACCGTCAGGTTTGAAAGGGAAACTTTTCACTTGGTGTGCAATTCTTTTTTTTACAAGATTCTGTTCTATTATAAAAAGTTTAAGTAATTAAAAATGGATAACAAATATTGTCTATGTCCTGAGTTGCCATCCCTCGTAATTTTATATTAGAATATTCGAGAAAGTTCAGGGGAGATCACTCCCGGTTTATTTTTACTCATTTTGTTAAAAGAATGAAAGAACTTAGAATCAATTGTAAAAACCTTAAAATAATCAGAAATACTTAAAAAATATCTAGTTTTCATTATAAAAAGTAGTAGGTAAAAAACAATCACTGTAACTGATTGTTGTAATGAATAATAGACATTATAAAAAACTAATTATATTTTAATGTGATGTGACAGCCATTCATATCAAAGCATTGATAAATTAAGAGATATTAAAATGGTAATAAAAATGTTCCTATCAAAATGTTTTGAAAATATTTCTGATGAGACCAAAACTTTTATTTGTACTATAATTTCTTATATTTAAGGTATTCAAAAACTAGCTGTTATCACATTTTTTTACTTTGTATGTGTCTAACAATCAAGAGTTGAAATAATTGGGACTTACATATCAGACTGCATTAGTGTTTAAATAAATAGAGTCAATGGTATTTTTATATTGAATTAGGTTAATTTTTTTCACTAGTACAACTACCAATACAACAAGCCTAGAGTTTTTAACATTTAACATGCATTAACATCAGATTAAAGCAGCCAGTGTTTTAAATACTAAACACACATCACTATCTCTCAACAACATGCCCAACCCAAACTGAATCAACTATCTTGAAGAAGCCTCCAAAGTAGGATTCAAAATCAATAGAAATAAAACAAGTCATTAGAATCAATCACGACAAAGACCTGCCTAATTCAAGAGACAAACAAATTCACATATCTGGGAAGCGTGATCAACAAGGATAGGGGAGAAGACCAATAAACTGAGAGCCATATCAACAATGTCAGATTGCTTTATGGCTCAAAGTCAAATATAGTGACAGTCGTTCACAAGCAGATGTTTAGGACAGATTCTGAAGATAAGACTGCCAGACAAAATGTCAAATGATGACCTGTGGCAAACCACAAAGGTGCAGCCAATTGACAGGGGCATTAAAGACCACACATGAGGATGGATCTGGCACACCTTGAGAAAGGAAGGATAACCTTGGGTGAGTCAAGCAATAGACTGGAATCCCTGGGAAAAAGAAAAGTAGCCAAAGCAATCCTGGAGAAGGACGGTGGAAGGGGAAGCAAGGTCTGCGGGCTTACAGATAAAGAGAGCTGTCCAAAACAATCTGGTGGAAAGGTCTAGCGGCAGCCAATTGCTCGTCAGGGGTTACAAAGGAATAAGTTAAGCCACTAACCAAAGGAATAAGTCAAGCCACTAACCAAAGGAATAAGTCAAGCCACTAACCAAAGGAACAAGTCAAGCCACTAACCAAAGGAATAAGTCAAGCCACTAACCAAAGGAATAAGTCAAGCCACTAACCAAAGGAACAAGTCAAGCCACTAACCAAAGGAACAAGTCAAGCCACTAACCAAAGGAACAAGTCAAGCCACTAACCAAAGGAACAAGTCAAGCCACTAACAGATTTTTTTCCATAACTACAAGTACCTGTCTTTGAGTTGTCCAGTTCCAAGGTAAGGATAACTGGCCTCTTTCAGCTTCCCCTTGATCAGCTGATCTAGCAGTGTAAACAACAATGGCTTGTGCTGTGTGTAGACATTCTCCACACCCTGGAGGTCAAAGGTCACAATTGTTTATAAAAATGCATCCATGTTGACTTAATAATTTTTTTAAAAATTAATTTAAACCATGAAATTTATTTCTTTTTAACACAACAGAAAAAAACAATGATTTTGATATTATAAGCTGTGTTTGATGCTCTCCTATCTTCCTATCTATAAATATCAATGGCTTTTAAATGATGAAATGTTATCAAAGCTTATGTAATAAATATTTATACAATAAAATATAACTAGTAAAAGTATAAAGTGGTGACCAATTTCTTGTGTTAGGAGCATGTTTAAGATTTTTTAAACTACCAACCTTTAAGCCTTTGAGAAGTCTTTTTGTAATGGCAACAGCATCTTGGTTACCAAACAGGTCACTTCCCCTGCCTTTCTTGCCACCATAGTCCAGAACATTCTGGACAAGCTGCACAATTTTAAGACCATGTGATCATTCCTCATATGTAACTTACATAACTCACACATTAAATAATGAGAAACTGTTTTTCAAACTTTTTTTTTACTCATGATATGCATACTAAACACATTAAATGTAAAAGCAAATATTAGACAATAAATCAATAATTTCTATTCAATAGCTGTTAAAAATGTTCTAAATATCTTAGTTTCATAATCTTTTTTTCTTAAATTTTAATTTCAGATGTTACCAGAGAACAATGTTTACATCAATGATTCAAGAACAACAAGTCCTTGTAAACACTGATTAACTTATGAATGTTTGATAGAACTGGGACTCACTAATTATTCAAATACTTAACCACAAGCCCTTCTAAACACTGATAATCTTAGTGATGTTTGATAGAACTGGGACTCACTGCTCTGTTTTCTGGAGAGATATTGTTTTGTCTGAGCACTTCCATCAGACCCGACACATCATTGTTGCTGTGACTTTCATACCTGAGCGCATACAGCATCACCAGCCGCAACATGTCGGCCTGCCGCAGTTTGTCACTGGCCAGCAGTGCTCGGATACGCTGAAACAAAAGAAGAAATTTAAATGTTTTGCCTTATAATGGCGTGGTCCGGTGGTAGAAAAGGTCTGAAAAGTCTTGGGAGTCATAAGATGCCCATAAGTACAGCCAGCTCATGGTAACTGAATTGGGGAAAGCTTAGACAGATAGTGTATAGAACTGATGACACCAGCCCTTCAAGACAGATAGTGTATAGAACTGTTCACATCAGCCCTTCAAGACAGATTGGATGTAGAACTAATCACACTAGCCCTTCAAGACAGATTGGCCATAGAACTAATCACACCAGCCCTTCAAGATAGAATAGATGTAGAACTGATCACACTACCTTCACATGCTAAAGTCATAGAAATAGATAAACTCAACATCTGGTCCTAGAGACCATCCGGTCAGAAAAGTGTACTTTTCTTATTTTCACTTCATCAGCTATGCTTTAAAATGTAGGCCTATATTTTATAATTAACATAATGGAAACAATAAATTAGATAAAATATCTTGTTTTTTAACCAGAATCTAGCCCTTTTCAAACTGTACACAGAATATTATTGAATAGTCTAAAAAAATATGATAAAAAGGTGAGATAACTTTATAGTGCATCCATCCAACTTTAATCAGCACTTAAATTGTGAAAAGAAGAGCTAGGTTTTTATTTTAGCCTCTGGCATCAAATGTATGGACAATCTTAACCCTTTGAGCCCTGGCCTCCCTGACCTAATTTCTCCCATTTCCTGAGCTCCCAAGGCCAAACCAATTTTCACTTATCTGCTTCTAACTTTGCCTACAACTTTTGAACTGTTTGAGATGAACAAGCCAAATTTTTAGTATCCAGACTCAGGATCAAACAACAATTCAGCAGGATTCTGAAATTCTTTATTTTTTTTACAATGTATGAACAGAACAACGTATATAAAACGAACACATAATTATTATCAACACGCCAAGGAGACTGAAGTTTTACAGCACCACGTGCATCAGAACGTACTTGAACAGTTTCATTGTCACTGTCAATTTCAATGTCACTGTGTTCAGTCTCAAATTCAACGTCATTATCATCACAATATAGACCAGGAATATTATCTTCTTCATCAGAACCAATAAGTAGTTGTATTGCCTGAGAAGTAGTCATTCTACTTCTTTTGTTGATATTTCGGTCTTTTGCTTCATCTTTTGCACCAACTTTATGTGCTGAAGTCGATGGCTGTGGCTCAGCTTTTCGTTTCGGCGGCATTGCTATGAAATGTAAACACTTTCACTTTTCCTAAAATCTATTTTTAGAATCATAATCCCGCACTAAAAAGACATGTGCGCAGTTTAAGTCAGTCTTCCGCTAATTATATTTAATTAGATGGTACACCGGCCGCTAGGAATATGACGCTAGATCATCGGGCCGGAAAATCGGTTTTTCAGACAGATATGCCTAATGTTGAAGCCGGTTTACCGGCCTGGCGGGCTCAAAGGGTTAAGTTATTTCATAGTGTCAAATCTATTCATTACTTCAATAATATTAATAAGGTGGAAGCTAACGACTGATACAGACTACATGGGATTTTTATCTCCATATTGTTTTAATGAAACAAATTTTTATAGTATTCATTCAACAATGTGATGCCTGTAGTGAACTGACCTGAAGTAGGGCAGAGTGATCTCCCTGACAGGCAATTTCCTGTTCTACCTCAGAGACCTCTAGCAGCTGATGGGCTCCAACAAGGCGAGACAACTCCCCCACAATGGTCACATGCTTGGAAACAGTTCCAGACATTTTCTTGAATTGGGGATAGTTCTCAACAAAAGCCTAGAAAAAATTAATAAGAAATCATCATATTTTAAACTGTATCATTCAAAGCAAATATTTAGAAAGATAAAATACATTTTTAAAGCTACAAAGAAGAGACATATATATATATAGGCCTATAAGGTTTTTTTAATATAATTTTTTAAGAATCAAAATGCTTAAAAATAGCACAAAATTGAGGTATTTAGGAGAACATTTTGAGAACCTTCATGTCAGCTATTGACTCCACTTTGGCTTGACTTTTTGATTTTTTCTGAAACTCCTCCATCAACTCTTTAATGTTTGATCCAATTTCACCAAAATTCATGTACATGTTCTAATTGAAGAGAGATTTGTAAAAAAAAATGTTACCTGATTGTAAACTGGATTACTCATTTTCCAAAGAAATGTGATGAAACATACATTGGTAATTATAGAGATGGGACTGAACTGTATGAGTTTTCTGAGGGACTAACTAGACATATGGATAAGTCCTATGTATGGCATACATAGTGTCCAACTCTACATTTACTTCCATTAAAACATTTTTCCACCAGACCCTAATAGACTTCAAAGTTTTAGATGAATTCTAAACTTTCAACTGTTCAAACAACCACTAACATTCGTTGAGAAACATTAACTTCAACTGCAACTGGCATTTATATACTTTTAAAATAAATTTCGACAAGCTCCATACAAATATTTGAGCATAAACTGATGCTGGCAGAGAATTCATAAGGTATATTACAACAAGCTGTATACAAACATTTCTGTCTCAACAAACTTTGGCTTGGAAATCATAAAGTATGTTACAACAATCTGCACAGAGCTATACAAGTGTAAACTAACACTGGCATAGAATTCATCAAGTGTAAACTAACATTGGTATAGAATTCATCATGTGTAAACTAACATTGGCATAGAACTCATCATGTGTAAACTAACATTGGCATAGAACTCATCATGTTCAGCTCACAGAACACAACAAGCTATACAAGTGTAAACTAACATTGGCATAGAATTCATCATGTGTAAACTAACATTGGCATAGAACTCATCATGTTCAGCTCACAGAACACAACAAGCTATACAAGTGTAAACTAACATTGGCATAGAATTCATCATGTGTAAACTAACATTGGCATAGAATTCATCATGTTCAGCTCACAGAACACAACAAGCTATACAAGTGTAAACTAACATTGGCATAGAATTCATCATGTGTAAACTAACATTGGCATAGAATTCATCATGTTCAGCTCACAGAACACAACAAGCTATACAAGTGTAAACTAACATTGGCATAGAACTCATCATGCTCAGCTGAGAGAACACAACAAGCTATACAAGTGTAAACTAACATTGGCATAGAATTCATCATGTGTAAACTAACACTGGCATAGAATTCATCATGTGTAAACTAACATCGGCATAGAATTCATCATGTGTAAACTAACACTGGCATAGAATTCATCATGTGTAAACTAACACTGGCATAGAATTCATCATGTGTAAACTAACATTGGCATAGAATTCATCATGTGTAAACTAACATTGGCATAGAATTCATCATGTGTAAACTAACACTGGCATAGAATTCATCATGTGTAAACTAACATTGGCATAGAATTCATCATGTGTAAACTAACATTGGCATAGAATTCATCATGCTCAGCTCACAGAACACAACAATCTACACAGAGCCATACAAGTGTAAACTAACATTGGCATAGAACTCATCATGCTCAGCTGACAGAACAACTTCCTGCAGGTCTTTAGAGATGCCAGGAACAGAGGACAGATTGATGCGGTTGTTGTTGATGGTGAGTAGCTCATGCACCATCGCCTGGTATGTCCACTGAAATATTAGGTTATGTGTACATAAGTCAGGCACAAAAATTCTTCTAAGTTTTCAAATAAATTTAGAAATAATCACTGGATAAAGATTTAAGTGTATATGCATTAAAAACCCTATTTCAAAAAAATTATTGATCTTTAATAGAGTGCAGAATAAAATTATTAATTTGGAGGTATAGTCTCCCTTTTTTATGTTTCGCAACCCTGAAATGATCAGAAAATTTTAAAAAACATGTAACTATTATATAGTGTTTCATAATTCTTATAAGGTACATTGGATAAACTGTTGAGCCACAAACCATCATCTTTCTAATTCCTCGGACAACCTGATTCTCACTAATCCCTCCTCAAACCTGATTCTCACTCATCCCTCCACTAACCTGATTTAATAATGGTGTAACAGCATCATCTCGTCTGTCTAAGATAAGCAGAACAGGAGCAACATCAGTCTTTCTGAATTCAAAGAGTGCAGCTTCTTTGCTTATTACTTGCTAAAATTAGAAAAGTTTAAGCTCATGATTTTGATACAATAAAATCTTAAATTATTTAACTCAGAAAAATTTTAAAGGAAGTGAGTGTGATTTTCTTTTTTTAAGTTTTTGATTTGTCTCCACCCATTAAAATTTAATTATTCTGATTAAAATAAAAAAATTTTATTTCAAGAGTAAGTAATTAATTACCCTGACACTTTCTGCCAGCCGACGAACCATCTCTGAGGAGTTTTGATAGCGGATCATTGGACATTTTTTTAAGGATAGGAGCACAGATGCAAGCCCTTGAATGGTACGTGATAAAACAGGTGGTGACCACGCCAAATTCTGAAACAAAAGAATATTAAATATGGTAATATATATCAAAGTTTTACTGAGCCCTGTTAAATAGTTTTTAGAAGCATACAAAAAATAAAAAGGAAGCAATGATCAAAATATGACTTGACACACATGATTCCATTACCTGACAGCAGCCAGTCAAGTTAAGTGAAAATAAGTGGGGGTTTACTGCTATATAATCTCCATAAAATTCCTGAAATAAATACAAATAAAACAACTGTTTTAAATTTATTTCAAGGTAACTTTGACATAACTTGTTTATTAAAAATGCCTATTTCATTAAAAGAGGTATTTTTTTTATAAAAAAAAATTATAAGTACAATAACAAATTATTTTACAAAAATAACTATTTAAAAAAATTATAATTTGCAACGATATTTGCAAAAGTATACGGATAAATTTTAGAAACTGAAGTGTATAAAGTGTATTATTAGTTTTAAAAAAATGGAAAACTGAAATTTGTCTTTTATGAATGAATATTTCTGACCTGAACTTCTCTAACCACCTCTTGATCATCAGCTTCTGCTAGTACTTTTATGTCTTGTTTACTTATAACGTTACTGAAATCTGGAGTTAAATTAAAAAAACATTTAACATTTAACGACACTACTACTTTCACATAAACCTCTCATGTTTGAAAACATATGCATTTAATTAAGTATGTTCCTAACAATTATTAGGGTTTATAATATAATAGGGTTAGAATGATATAAAAATAGAGATAGGTTAAATCAAGGGGTTGATATACTTTACAGTAAACAAGATACAGATGACATATAGTATCTTAGAATGTTAAGTACAATAAAAATAAACTTACAGATAAAGTAAAGACCATATTTAGGCATGCGAAGTTCTTGTGCCAGTAAATCGACATTTTCCTTGGTTGGCCGAAGAAAAACTATACAGTTGAGATGCTTCATTGTTTCTCTTCCAGCGGCATCTATCTTTTCAAACAAATATACTTCCTTTTGGAGGATTTCAGACTGAGCATACACCATGCTTACGATGCTGGTCTGAAATAGAGTTCAGTTAATAAAGCCTATAATAACAAACTGGCAAAGGGTTTAATTATAAAGGTGAATATAGTAAAATTTAGGTCTACATAATTATAAAAGTTGGTAGAGTTGATAATGATTTGAATGTTAATAACCTAGCCTAATGTTTTAAAATTATAATTCAAGACATGGGTAATCATAAATTAATCGTTATAATCATTAGACTATGAAAATAGACCTAATGTATTCTTTATCAGATTATTGATTAGTGGCAATAAAATGAAGCTTGATTTATTGAATAAATCAAGCTTCATCAATTATCAACAATCAATTGAATTAAATATTTGTTTAGGATAATATTTAGAATCGACCCTATGAATCCCTAGGCCACGCTGTGAGGGGGGGGGGCAGTCTCCTTCTGCTAGAGATTGAATTGAAAGGGTTGACTCAAAATATCGAGAAATAGAAATTAGGCTAGTAAATTAGAAAATTAATAATTATGAAGTGAAACTTCAAACTTAGCTAGATCTAGATTTATACAGAAATATGTATTTAATATGTAATATGTAGACTATATTAAATATTTAGATCTAGATCCTAAGATATTTTTCTTACAGTTTCCCTGTCCATGAGAAGTACTTTCATTCCCCCTCCGCATCCTTCTATCATTTTACTAACATATTGTTTGACAGCTAAAATTACATTCATTTTCAATTTTTTCAACTGTAACTTATAGTAAACAAATCAGATAATATGAAATATGAGTTAAAACTGCCATAAATTTTAAATAAAGGGTTATTTTTGGAGTATCAAGTCTAGTTTATTTGTACAATGTACAAAATAGAAATAATGAAATTTACAAAATGCTCTTTTGTCTGTAGAAATAAATATCTAAATATTTGTTGGAGTTATAAAAATGTTTCGGCATTAATTTTAGCTGAAACAATCAAAACAATTATTGTAATTAATTAACTAGACCCATAAAAAGGAAAGAAAATAATAATATTAGAAAGTTAAATTATTTTAATTTTTATTTTATACATTTTATTTATAAAGTTTAATATTCATAATTTAAATACACAATAATGTTTTAGAAATGTGACTGTCACAGCTACCTTAGGGGGGGGGGGGGGGGGGGGGGGGGGGGGTCGTCCATAAATGACGTCACACTCGTAGGGGGGAGGGGGGTCCGTAATTTTGTGACGGTGTGTGATGAGGGGGAGTTCAGATGTTGTGACGTCACTTTTTCGCATTATAAAAAAGCCATGTTATTTACTGTTATTTCGCGTTTTAGAAAACAGTTTAAATAAATTGTAATAGGAATTGATCAAAATACGTGTGCAGCACGATTACTTGCATCTTTTATGGCCTAAAAAAGAGACAACTGTCCCTTTTGTGCACTCTGTTTTCTACCGATCTGTCCAGAGTTACTTCCAGTCATCCCTCCGGAGAGGCTCAAGCCCCCCCCCCCCCCCAAGAAAGTCTACCGCCCCCCCCCCCCCTCCCACCACCACGAATAAAATGGAATTTCAATTGAAAATATATACTTTTACCACCCCCCCCCCCCCCCCCCGAAAATATATACAGGATTTTTTAATATATATGTATCGAGAAAGCTGAATCCTTTTTGTGCTCACCTTCCCCGAAAACCTCCATACGCCACTGACTGATTGAGCAGAATGTGACATGTCCCGAAATTTTTGAAGTCTTTCACCGTTTTTCCCCCATATATTTTGTTATTAGAAAATGGGATGATTTGTATTAATTTTGCAATGATTTTACTATATCGTATAAACTTGCAGCCTCTACCTCGCATACAATTTTTTTTTAATTTTGGTGGCTTTCTTTGCTAAACCTTGGCGTAACAAGATTTAATTTTTAATTTCTTTTTTTTTTCAAATCTAAAATGCAGTTTGTATTTGCCACTAATAATTTAAGTCTATGTTCAACTTGTTTTGGATTTTAAAAATGTTTCAATAAAATTGGTTTGGTCAGAAAATAGTTTGGCAGTATTTTTTATTTTATTCTGGCAAATTTACCTGTTTTAGAGTACAGCAACACTACGACAAACTACAATAAAAATCAGCTGTTTATGACTCAAGGATTTAGTTCTACAGTTGTTTTGATTTGAAGCTAATCAAAACTATTGTTTTTGTTATATATAGACCTAAGATCTATAACAAATAATTCAATTAATATATGCCTTTAATATTTCTATAGAAAACAATGCCTTCCTCTTCAAAAAAATGTGTTGTAGTCACAGGTAAAACTACCGTAAATAAAAGTAAAAAGTCACAAAAGTGTTTTAATAATTTAATAAAGTAAAAGTAAAAAGATTTTTTTTTTGGGCTTAGCTTAGACTTAGACTAATAGACTGTTTTAGACCTCCTTAACTTTAGACCAGCCACTAGGTCTATGTTATAGCTAATCAACTGGCTATTTGACACTTTGCCTGAGCAGATCCTTATTTATTAGCCTGACTTAGCAAAACTATTGATAGCCAAGGCTTAACTCAAAACAAAAAAAATCTAGATCTACATATACTAATACTAATATAGTAGCTAAGCTCTAAACAAGTTTAATAGCTGTAAATATAAAACTGATTTTTTTTTTTAAAGTTGTGCTTGATGCTTTACAATGCCCCTTTCATTTAGGACCTGTTAAGCCTACTAGTACTTATTTAATTAGTTTTTTAGTTGCCTAACTTCTTACTAACTACTTAGCTAAGACTTCCTGTTTATTCTATTTGTAAAAAAAAAGGTATAGTCATCATTGCTGCTACAAAGCACCTGTTAATATTGCACTTTTTTCTCTCAAGGTTTTGGCCCTTTCAAAGGTCACAAAGTAAATGCAAGTTGGGTCTCTGTTCAAGAGCTGTACAACTTAGGTCTTGGCGATGATGTTGAACTTGTAATCCAAGAAATCCCTGTGGTGTACACTAAAGTGCAAAATATAATTCCAGAATTGTGGGAGAAATATAAACCTGTGGTATGTTGCATGCACTGTTACTAAAAGCACATTTACAGGCTTGATAGGAAGTTGGTCACACTGGTTTGTATTTGGAATGATAAAACAAACCTAAAAACAAAAGGTACTTTTCCATCAGCAATATCCTTTTGTTTGGTTTAATACTAGATATACCCAACTGAACTTAAACACTATTAAAACAAAATTTAATGTAAGGACATTTTCTCAAAGGACGTTTACTTTTTTTTATTTAAAATTATATTAACAAAATCTTCACTGAGGTCGGGTGTCAGAGTTTAAGTTTTTTTGTAGGTGTATCAAGTCAGTCAGAATGTATAGACGTTATTTTTTTTTAAAGGATATGGCATAACATTTGTGAAATGATGAATTCTACAATAGATAGCAAACAAAATTTAAATATATAGAATAGTAGTAAATGAACATTTTTTAAGTCATCATGACACAATTTATATAAAATAAGTACAAAATAATCAACATGAATAGCATATTTCTTTAAATGCAGTAAATAATAATAGAGGAAATCATAACAAAACCTGTAAAAAATAAGAATACAGTTAAACATTGCAAAATAGTAGGTAAACTAAAACAATAGCCAGTATAGGTGTCTGGCAAAAAAAAAAGTTTGAACTTTAATTTTATATCTGATGCCGCAGCCTTGAATAGAGATATTCTATTCTTTATCACCTTTTTAAAAATTGATTTGTGATTTCAAAGATCAAAACTTATTTATCACCAGTTGATGGTCCATGTAGGTGTATCTAGTGTGGCTAATGAACTGACCCTTGAACAGCGAGCTCATAATGATGGTTATTCAAGGGATGATGTGCATGGACAGGTCCCTCCTTCTAACATGTGTGTGGACGGAAGCTGTGAGGACATCATTGTCTCTGGTATCAACATGTCCCTGGTGTGTGAGGAGGTCAACCACTCCAGCCTGAAAGTTTGCTCTGTGGTGTCACAGGATCCTGGCAGGTAAGGTCAAAGTTCAACTCAGTCTAGCCTGAAAGTTTGCTCTGTGGTGTCACAGGATCCTGGCAGGTAAGGTCAAAGTTCAACTCAGTCTAGCCTGAAAGTTTGCTCTGTGGTGTCACAGGATCCTGGCAGGTAAGGTCAAAGTTCAACTCAGTCTAGCCTGAAAGTTTGCTCTGTGGTGTCACAGGATCCTGGCAGGTAAGGTCAAAGTTCAACTCAGTCTAGCCTGAAAGTTTGCTCTGTGGTGTCACAGGATCCTGGCAGGTAAGGTCAAAGTTCAACTCAGTCTAGCCTGAAAGTTTGCTCTGTGGTGTCACAGGATCCTGGCAGGTAAGGTCAAAGTTCAACTCAGTCTAGCCTGAAAGTTTGCTCTGTGGTGTCACAGGATCCTGGCAGGTAAGGTCAAAGTTCAACTCAACCAGTCCAGCCTGAAAGTTTGCTCTGTGGTGTCACAGGATCCTGGCAGGTAAGGTCAAAGTTCAACTCAGTCTAGCCTGAAAGTTTGCTCTGTGGTGTCACAGGATCCTGGCAGGTAAGGTCAAAGTTCAACTCAGTCTAGCCTGAAAGTTTGCTCTGTGGTGTCACAGGATCCTGGCAGGTAAGGTCAAAGTTCAACTCAGTCTAGCCTGAAAGTTTGCTCTGTGGTGTCACAGGATCCTGGCAGGTAAGGTCAAAGTTCAACTCAGTCTAGCCTGAAAGTTTGCTCTGTGGTGTCACAGGATCCTGGCAGGTAAGGTCAAAGTTCAACTCAGTCTAGCCTGAAAGTTTGCTCTGTGGTGTCACAGGATCCTGGCAGGTAAGGTCAAAGTTCAACTCAGTCTAGCCTGAAAGTTTGCTCTGTGGTGTCACAGAATCCTGGCAGGTAAGGTCAAAGTTCAACTCAGTCTAGCCTGAAAGTTTGCTCTGTGGTGTCACAGGATCCTGGCAGGTAAGGTCAAAGTTCAACTCAGTCTAGCCTGAAAGTTTGCTCTGTGGTGTCACAGGATCCTGGCAGGTAAGGTCAAAGTTCAACTCAGTCTAGCCTGAAAGTTTGCTCTGTGGTGTCACAGGATCCTGGCAGGTAAGGTCAAAGTTCAACTCAACCAGTCCAGCCTGAAAGTTTGCTCTGTGGTGTCACAGGATCCTGGCAGGTAAGGTCAAAGTTCAACTCAGTCTAGCCTGAAAGTTTGCTCTGTGGTGTCACAGGATCCTGGCAGGTAAGGTCAAAGTTCAACTCAGTCTAGCCTGAAAGTTTGCTCTGTGGTGTCACAGGATCCTGGCAGGTAAGGTCAAAGTTCAACTCAACCAGTCCAGCCTGAAAGTTTGCTCTGTGGTGTCACAGGATCCTGGCAGGTAAGGTCAAAGTTCAACTCAGTCTAGCCTGAAAGTTTGCTCTGTGGTGTCACAGGATCCTGGCAGGTAAGGTCAAAGTTCAACTCAGTCCAGCCTGAAAGTTTGCTCTGTGGTGTCACAGGATCCTGGCAGGTAAGGTCAAAGTTCAACTCAGTCTAGTCTGAAAGTTTGCTCTGTGGTGTCACAGGATCCTGGCAGGTAAGGTCAAAGTTCAACTCAGTCTAGCCTGAAAGTTTGCTCTGTGGTGTCACAGGATCCTGGCAGGTAAGGTCAAAGTTCAACTCAGTCTAGCCTGAAAGTTTGCTCTGTGGTGTCACAGGATCCTGGCAGGTAAGGTCAAAGTTCAACTCAGTCTAGCCTGAAAGTTTGCTCTGTGGTGTCACAGGATCCTGGCAGGTAAGGTCAAAGTTCAACTCAGTCTAGCCTGAAAGTTTGCTCTGTGGTGTCACAGGATCCTGGCAGGTAAGGTCAAAGTTCAACTCAGTCTAGCCTGAAAGTTTGCTCTGTGGTGTCACAGGATCCTGGCAGGTAAGGTCAAAGTTCAACTCAACCAGTCCAGCCTGAAAGTTTGCTCTGTGGTGTCACAGGATCCTGGCAGGTAAGGTCAAAGTTCAACTCAGTCTAGCCTGAAAGTTTGCTCTGTGGTGTCACAGGATCCTGGCAGGTAAGGTCAAAGTTCAACTCAGTCCAGCCTGAAAGTTTGCTCTGTGGTGTCACAGGATCCTGGCAGGTAAGGTCAAAGTTCAACTCAGTCTAGTCTGAAAGTTTGCTCTGTGGTGTCACAGGATCCTGGCAGGTAAGGTCAAAGTTCAACTCAGTCTAGCCTGAAAGTTTGCTCTGTGGTGTCACAGGATCCTGGCAGGTAAGGTCAAAGTTCAACTCAGTCTAGCCTGAAAGTTTGCTCTGTGGTGTCACAGGATCCTGGCAGGTAAGGTCAAAGTTCAACTCAGTCTAGCCTGAAAGTTTGCTCTGTGGTGTCACAGGATCCTGGCAGGTAAGGTCAAAGTTCAACTCAGTCTAGCCTGAAAGTTTGCTCTGTGGTGTCACAGGATCCTGGCAGGTAAGGTCAAAGTTCAACTCAGTCTAGCCTGAAAGTTTGCTCTGTGGTGTCACAGGATCCTGGCAGGTAAGGTCAAAGTTCAACTCAACCAGTCCAGCCTGAAAGTTTGCTCTGTGGTGTCACAGGATCCTGGCAGGTAAGGTCAAAGTTCAACTCAGTCTAGCCTGAAAGTTTGCTCTGTGGTGTCACAGGATCCTGGCAGGTAAGGTCAAAGTTCAACTCAGTCTAGCCTAAAAGTTTGCTCTGTGGTGTCACAGGATCCTGGCAGGTAAGGTCAAAGTTCAACTCAACCAGTCCAGCCTGAAAGTTTGCTCTGTGGTGTCACAGGATCCTGGCAGGTAAGGTCAAAGTTCAACTCAGTCTAGCCTGAAAGTTTGCTCTGTGGTGTCACAGGATCCTGGCAGGTAAGGTCAAAGTTCAACTCAGTCTAGCCTGAAAGTTTGCTCTGTGGTGTCACAGGATCCTGGCAGGTAAGGTCAAAGTTCAACTCAGTCTAGCCTGAAAGTTTGCTCTGTGGTGTCACAGGATCCTGGCAGGTAAGGTCAAAGTTCAACTCAGTCTAGCCTGAAAGTTTGCTCTGTGGTGTCACAGGATCCTGGCAGGTAAGGTCAAAGTTCAACTCAGTCTAGCCTGAAAGTTTGCTCTGTGGTGTCACAGAATCCTGGCAGGTAAGGTCAAAGTTCAACTCAGTCTAGTCTGAAAGTTTGCTCTGTGGTGTCACAGGATCCTGGCAGGTAAGGTCAAAGTTCAACTCAGTCTAGCCTGAAAGTTTGCTCTGTGGTGTCACAGGATCCTGGCAGGTAAGGTCAAAGTTCAACTCAGTCTAGCCTGAAAGTTTGCTCTGTGGTGTCACAGGATCCTGGCAGGTAAGGTCAAAGTTCAACTCAGTCTAGCCTGAAAGTTTGCTCTGTGGTGTCACAGGATCCTGGCAGGTAAGGTCAAAGTTCAACTCAGTCTAGCCCGAAAGTTTGCTCTGTGGTGTCACAGGATCCTGGCAGGTAAGGTCAAAGTTCAACTCAACCAGTCCAGCCTGAAAGTTTGCTCTGTGGTGTCACAGGATCCTGGCAGGTAAGGTCAAAGTTCAACTCAGTCTAGCCTGAAAGTTTGCTCTGTGGTGTCACAGGATCCTGGCAGGTAAGGTCAAAGTTCAACTCAGTCTAGCCTGAAAGTTTGCTCTGTGGTGTCACAGGATCCTGGCAGGTAAGGTCAAAGTTCAACTCAACCAGTCCAGCCTGAAAGTTTGCTCTGTGGTGTCACAGGATCCTGGCAGGTAAGGTCAAAGTTCAACTCAGTCTAGCCTGAAAGTTTGCTCTGTGGTGTCACAGGATCCTGGCAGGTAAGGTCAAAGTTCAACTCAACCAGTCCAGCCTGAAAGTTTGCTCTGTGGTGTCACAGGATCCTGGCAGGTAAGGTCAAAGTTCAACTCAGTCTAGCCTGAAAGTTTGCTCTGTGGTGTCACAGGATCCTGGCAGGTAAGGTCAAAGTTCAACTCAGTCCAGCCTGAAAGTTTGCTCTGTGGTGTCACAGGATCCTGGCAGGTAAGGTCAAAGTTCAACTCAGTCTAGTCTGAAAGTTTGCTCTGTGGTGTCACAGGATCCTGGCAGGTAAGGTCAAAGTTCAACTCAGTCTAGCCTGAAAGTTTGCTCTGTGGTGTCACAGGATCCTGGCAGGTAAGGTCAAAGTTCAACTCAGTCTAGCCTGAAAGTTTGCTCTGTGGTGTCACAGGATCCTGGCAGGTAAGGTCAAAGTTCAACTCAGTCTAGCCTGAAAGTTTGCTCTGTGGTGTCACAGGATCCTGGCAGGTAAGGTCAAAGTTCAACTCAACCAGTCCAGCCTGAAAGTTTGCTCTGTGGTGTCACAGGATCCTGGCAGGTAAGGTCAAAGTTCAACTCAGTCTAGCCTGAAAGTTTGCTCTGTGGTGTCACAGGATCCTGGCAGGTAAGGTCAAAGTTCAACTCAGTCTAGCCTGAAAGTTTGCTCTGTGGTGTCACAGGATCCTGGCAGGTAAGGTCAAAGTTCAACTCAACCAGTCCAGCCTGAAAGTTTGCTCTGTGGTGTCACAGGATCCTGGCAGGTAAGGTCAAAGTTCAACTCAGTCTAGCCTGAAAGTTTGCTCTGTGGTGTCACAGGATCCTGGCAGGTAAGGTCAAAGTTCAACTCAGTCTAGCCTGAAAGTTTGCTCTGTGGTGTCACAGGATCCTGGCAGGTAAGGTGAAAGTTCAACTCAGTCTAGCCTGAAAGTTTGCTCTGTGGTGTCACAGGATCCTGGCAGGTAAGGTCAAAGTTCAACTCAGTCTAGCCTGAAAGTTTGCTCTGTGGTGTCACAGGATCCTGGCAGGTAAGGTCAAAGTTCAACTCAGTCTAGCCTGAAAGTTTGCTCTGTGGTGTCACAGGATCCTGGCAGGTAAGGTCAAAGTTCAACTCAGTCTAGCCTGAAAGTTTGCTCTGTGGTGTCACAGGATCCTGGCAGGTAAGGTCAAAGTTCAACTCAGTCTAGCCTGAAAGTTTGCTCTGTGGTGTCACAGGATCCTGGCAGGTAAGGTCAAAGTTCAACTCTGTCTAGCATGAAAGTTTGCTCTGTGGTGTCACAGGATCCTGGCAGGTAAGGTCAAAGTTCAACTCAGTCTAGCCTGAAAGTTTGCTCTGTGGTGTCACAGGATCCTGGCAGGTAAGGTCAAAGTTCAACCTAAAGGGTTGTTAAATGCTCTAAAGTTACTGTGAGGAATACACCCTGAATTTGAATACATCACGCTTATAACAACAAACAATCTAGCACAACTACAGTTCAACGGCGACATCACATAAGATTGAAATCCCTCTCTATATGAACATGTGTACTCATACACAACACACTACAAACAAGCAGAGATTAGAATCAAACACAAGTAAAAACATAACTTTGACAACTCTAAGATAAGGATTGTAGATTGTAGCCACCCCTCTTATTCTATAATCTCAATAAAAAGTGATCTGCCTGGTTTGACTACGGCATATGCTAGCATATATGTTAACACTCCAAGTACTCTGATTCACTGCTCTTAACAATCATGTTTCTTTCTACACAAAACCTTTAAACTTTCCACTTGTTTTTTTTACAGGTATCTTTGTGATTTCACCTACTATCAATCATTGCATATCAATAAAAACTGCACAGCTTTCATACATGTCCCTCCTTTGGATGCCCCCTACACTGCTCGAGAGTTAGCTGAAGGGTTGAAGGTTGCTATATGTTCCATGCTGAAACAGTTATGCTTATAACATTCATGTTCACATTTTTCTTATTTTGCAACCAAATATTTTTTAAAATTTTGATACCGTTGAATATGTAAAACCTTGTTGAAGCTTATCTATCACCTCTGGGTTTTTTTTGGCAGATTATTATCATAATTTTTAAAGTTTTTTTTTTTAGGTATTGTTTTAAAATCCATTTTGTTTTCTAAGTGAACATAGCAGATTATGATTTTAAAAATACATATTGTGAGACAAAAGCTGCAGGGTATGCTTCATTATGCTGATGTTGTGTGTTTATGTAACCCACCAGTCCAGTCCCCTTGGACATCCACTGGATTTTGTTGCCGAGTTAAAACCAGATTTGGATATTTTTGTAACTCTTTATTGTTGAGCTAAGTGTCACTGGCTGCTGTAATGTGATGTTGCTATGTGTATTTTTTAAATGTTTATCTACATGCTTTAAAAATGTTAAGCAGATAATGATGATGCATTCAGTATTTCATAATCAGCATCATTTTTGGTGTTTTTTTTTTCTTTAATTTAATGGCTGTGTTTTATAATTTAAAAATCTACATGTATCAAAAAACAAATATAAATAATCCATATCTTAACAGTCTTTGAAACAATCTTCATCATGAGGTCAAGTGTTTGGCTTGTTATCTCTAAGAACACATAAGCTCTTGTCATCATTAATATTGAGACAAGCTATGGTTTCAACTGTCAGAAATTTTCAGCAGTTTAGTCTTCCATTCCTATTAATTTTTAGTTCATCTAAAAAGATATTAAACCAAGTAGGGAAAACTAAAATACAACGTGTCTCACAAAGGTTGAAATGTTTGCAAAAGTCTGGTTTTCTTCAAATTGTAATCACAGAAATTACAGCTTGCTATTTGAAAAACCAGAATTGTTCAATAGTTATACGATTAAAGCTGTTAAATGTCAAGTTTTTAAGGTACAGGTAAAATACTCTCCAAAATACTCCTACACTTCTGTTGGCCATGGTAAAAATATTTAGTTGTTATCTCTGTGAAATTAATGCCTTTGTGTAATCAATTTTTCTACTGATCATTGTACTTTTTTTTGTAGTTCATAATAGAAAGCTTAATAACACTGGCATAATATTAATTTAGTTGTATTTCAGTTATTTTAATCATTAAATAATAATGAACAACAAAATAATTTCAGATATTATCCTTAAGGGAGTTTAATATTACACTTTTATTTATGAAAATGCATATTTCAATTTGTTTTTAATTATTGTATTATTCAGGGACTATTTTTTAAATTTTTAACCAGAAGAGTAGTCTGATATTATTTATCAAGAATTGAAGATGTCATTTAGGGATTAATGATTCTTATTTTTCTCTCTCCTTTTGATGCAATAATTATCTTAAAAACTTACATTGGAAATTTCCATTTGTTTTTACCATATGAAATTATATTTACTATTTTTACATGTCCCGATGTGTTTACACATGAAACGACTCCTATCATTACTGTTGATATCAGTTTGCCCCAGACCAACAGAGCTTTCACAAATAGAAAGAAAGGTCCTGTTTCATTTTGTTTCAGCTTTCTACCTTCTGAAAAATGATGTATTTATGTTAGAGGCAGAATTTGCAGTTATAATAGTGTCCAGCAATAGTTAAGCAAATCTACTTTTTAAAAGTTGGAATATTAGGATGGACTTATCAGTTATTGATCCCCCTAGCAAATCTTTACAAAAAACATAGCATATACAAAAATTACATTGTAAGCTGCGATCTTTTAACATGTAATGGAATTGTAGCATAATCTAATCAAAGTGTAGCATAATCTAATCAAAGTGTTACACTGCATTTCATGTACCTTCCTTTAACATACAATTATAAATTTATTTACCCAACAATTTCAAATTGTATTTATGTAATTCTTTGAGATTAAAAAAAAAGATAAAAAGCAATATTCAAACATGAAATGTGAGACCAATTTTTTCTTATTGTTACTATTTTAAGATACAATATATAGGTATATCTAGAATTTAAAGATGTAAAAGTATATTTTTCTGATTAAAAATTTAATGTGCTGTTCAATGGTAAAATTTTATTTTCTGATTGTTTTTAATAAAAAAAATTCCTAAACAAGTCTGTGGGTTTTGTGTACTTGAATAGCGTTTGAAGTTGAGAAAAATTAAATGTTTAAAGTGGTGCAATTTAAGCTGTTTGGAAACTTGTAGTCCTAGGTTTTCTATCTCTGACAACTTGTAGCAAAATGTAGATATCCCAGTCAATAGGTCTGCAGTGTGGGTCGGCGTGGTCGAGTCGGTAAAGCTCATGGTTGCTAAACCGAAAAGTCTCGAGTTCGAACCCTCGGGCAGATGAGGCTCGTTAGCTGGGGACAGCCACTCTTCTAGGAGAGACAACTCCAAAATTAAACAACTACTGCCTTGTAGTTTGTTCTTGGTTGGACAAAGGCTATGGAAGCAAATCCAAAACGAAAAGCAGGCTGAAATCGGAGTCAATGGCCTCAATGGCGCATAACCAGTTGACACGTAACGCTTAATTGTGTTGGAGGCGTGGTCGAGTCGGCAAAAAGTTCATTGTTGATAAATTCGAACAAAGTCTCGAGTTCAAACCCACTGGCAGATAAATCTCGATCCCCTTCAACACTAATAATTAAGAACGAAGAAGAAGAAGAAGAGGTCTGCAGTACCACACTTTAGCTTTGTAACAACTATTGGTACCATTCAATTGACTCAATTGAAAGTGATTCACATTTAAGAGAAAAACAGAAAATTAACAAGGAACTCAAATACATTGTAATAGTTTTATTTTCAAAAATAAAAATGCCTCTATTTTTTTCAAAGAGTGAATGCAACCTATGATTCCAGGAAATGCAAAGATTTAATTTAAAAAAAAAAGAACAATGTTAGCTTCATGAATATATATATAAATATATAAATACATTTTAAAATAAATTTAGAAAATATGCTTTTTAAATTTAGTTTTTTTATAAGGTTTAATTGATGACATAACCTTACTTGGAATTTTATTTTATTTACATTTGTAATCAGAATCTTATGAGCATTTATATTTAATTTTAAACTGTATTCAGAGTAAGCCTTTATTATGATATTGTATTGCTAGAAGCTTATTACTCAAAATAAATGCGTATTTACAAATGTTGAGTGAGTGACGTATTTCTTTAGCTTGACCGACCTTAACACGTGTCCCTGAAAACACATCATATACCAGAGTCTGACATTACAGCAACATTATTTACAAATAAATACTCTAATATGTTATAGCTTTACTTACAATACAAGGCCAGATATTTGTTCTTAGAAAAATAAATACATTGCAGATATATGGGAGAAAAAAAAAATTTCTATTAAATAAAATTTAGCTTACATGTGTTGCTAAATGAGTGAACTATACACAATGTTTATCCTACTGACTGATAACAGAGGCAATGTTTTTGAAAAAAAATGTCTTATAAGACTGAATTAATTAGGTCTAACTTGTAGAGCATGCTGTGTGCTAGGTACACTAATAACAGAAGCAGAACCAGTCACTTGGATCTTATATTGCAGACAAAGGCCTTTACCAGATGTGTATACAAAAATAGATGACATGGACTGACTAGTTTAGAAGTAATACAGTCTTATAACAAGATGTCTGACCTCTTCTGTGTAGAAGACAGACTCTTCAAAGATCCAAGACTGTATTACTTGATAAAGCCATGATGTTGACTGATGATTTTAATTTGCATATTAAAAGCAAGGGGAACAATGAATCAATGTCATGGATATAGTATACAAGAGTTACAGCAGTTTGTGTCCTTTTGTTCCCACCAAACTCAACAAGAATTGCTGGTACATTAGACAAGATAAACCAATTCAAATAGGAACAAAAAAAAGTGGTCCAAATGGTTGTTCTTACAAAACAATGTAACTGTTGTTTGTCTAGCACCTACATTTTCCAACAGCCCTAAATGCTCAGTGCTACATTATACTACATACAAGCTTGACATGGGGTAAATAATGTTTTTTTTTATACTGATACACATATTTATAAGCAGCTCTAAATTTAGTGATAAAACCTTTTTGTAATGACAAATATAATAAAGATTTTTTTAAAAATTTCACTTCTAAGAGTGGAAGTAGTTTTATAGTGTCTTCTCCAAGGTCTAAACATTTGACTAAAGTCAGTTTGAGTGGTTTTGGCTTGTACTAAATGAGCATAGATAACATTTCAAACAACTGTGCTGCCCTCAAACCATTAGCCTAGTTTATATCTTCTGTATAAAAAACGCAACTTAAAAACAGGAATAATAATAATAAAAACTAAAGCAGTTCAATAATGATTTTTCTAAGGTGGCTTATAGTATTTTATTATCTTTCGTAGTGTTAAAAACAAAATAGGAAACCTGTATGTAAACTAAACATGAGAAAAATAAATGGTGGTGCACTGCAACACTGTAAATCATTTTTTAATTTAACTGTAAAATAGATCTTGTTGAAGAACATTTGTGTAAAGTATATCAACCAAATGGTTCTTGCAGAATAAAATGTGAATAATCAAATGTTTTAAAGCTATCACATCAAGATTATTATCAATTATTATGGAGTTAAATGCTGCCAACACACAAGATAAACCATTCAAGCAGTGTTCACCACAGACTGCACAAAAACATCTTGAAACAGTCTTTACACAACGGGTGCTAGTTTTTTTAAGCAGATAAAGTTTATGTACAATCTTTGTAATTACTGTAGCAATCAAATGTTTAAACAACTATTGTTTCAGTAGTCTTAGAAAACCTTGTGTTTAGATACGTGGGGTGGGGGTAGTGGTATTAAAGATTTGATAAGCTAGATATGTCAAAAACCATCCGAATCCAAGTCAGATGGAGAAAGTTCTGTCAACAAGTTTGTTTTTACAAAAGCAACAAAACAATGGTTAAATTATGCAAATAATTGTATAAATTATGCCTATGCATTGTTATATTTAAAACAATGAACACAGTAATGCTACCGCTTGTGATAGCATTCAACAAGTTGGTATTACAACAAGATTATATTTACTGATGGGCTAAAACAATTTCCACGAGATTTTGGTCAAGGGCAAACTATTAACACCATCATTTATATGGTTAGAAATTATTTAAAATATTTATTTTAGATTTTGGTCAAGGGCAAACTATTAACACCATCATTTGTATGGTTAGAAATTATTTAAAATATTCATTTTAGATTTTGGTAAAGGGTAAACTATTAACACCATCATTTGTATGGTTAGAAAGAATTATTTTAAATATTTATTTTCATCTAAAGTGTGATATGTAAAAAATGTAAATGCCTAGCACATCGGGAGAAAAGGGGGTTGGGAAAAACAATGACAAGACTGTTATCAATAACAGTTAACACACATATGCATCAGAAGAAATATTAAGAAGAAATCTGTGAGGAAAAGAGTTTACAATTCAAGACACTTTGATAATTGGATGCACAAAAAATTAACACCATAATGTAGGAAAGACGTTCTCATGACTTGGATGCAAAAGGCATTCAATTGAAGATTGCAGTTAATCAACAAATATAAGAAGATGGATACACAAATGTCTTGAATGGTTGGGTAATTATAAAGTAGCATCAATAAATATTTCTTTACATGTAACAAGTTATACAACAAATGGCTATTAAAACAACAAGAAAATAGATTCCACAATTCTCCTTTGATCAGAACACCACAGGAGCAGCAACAACTAGAGAGTAGAATATTTGCACTTTTATCACAAGGAACCTGAAGAGATGTTCACAACCTTTCAATAAATACAACATTGTCATCCCCTCCGTGGGAGGGGGATCTGGATGCTGCAGTTGTCTGTTTGGGTTGTGACTGCCCATTTAAGGATTGTTGACTATCCCCTTGACCTCGTATTATTTTGGTCAATATTACGGCAGAGTTGGAGTGTCTTTCTTTCGCTCGGTCTTTCATATTGATGCCACTGGTGATCAATTCTCCAAAACCAGCTTGGTGAGCAAAGGCATAGCCTGAGCGCATCGACCTGGCACTTCTGCGAATGGTAGACTGGCGGTGAATACGGAAGTCTCTCCCAAGTTTGGACTTGGATTTCTTCATCCTCTGTCTCAGCCTGACTCTGTCTGACAAGGTGGGCGTGACGTTGGTTGTGTAGAACCTGTAGGCCACCATGGGCAGGATGAGCAGGGTGCTGGTGATCAGCAGGCAGAACCAGAAGTTGGACAAGCCAAACACTTTCAGGGCCACGCCAGAGTACTTGTAGCGAATGGCATCCGAGTAGAAAGCCAGATGGAAACAGAAGTAGTAGATGATGCTGCCCCATATGACAAAGTGGTTGAAGCCGGTCCAGTAGCTCGTGTCTAGAGCACACTGAGGAGAGAGCAGCAACAGGTTAACAATCTTGCTTTCTTTTTAAACTGAAAGTTGGCTGAACTATTTCTAAGATACAATACATCAATTAATAAAATATTGTTGCTATAAAACTATTGTATATAGTACATTAATTTGAAATGAGTGGCTACTGCTAAATGTCTGTGTATGCTATGAACTTAAAAAGATGTATTAGAGCAACTCACCCTGAGATTGACAGTAACAACCAGACCCGCTGCCACCACTGTACCCAGAGCCTGGGTGTCAGTCACATCCTGACCCTCGTAGTCCACACCCATCAGGAAGGTGCCGTACGGGATAAAGAAGAGGACTAAAGAGGATATAACCCCCTCCGCCACACTCCAGAAGAAAATCTTCTTGTTGAACAAAGCATTTTTCATGCCTGGCTCATACAGCTTGGGATAGCGTAGACAAAAACTTTCATCCACATCCTGAAACATGGTGGAACATGTGTGTTAAGACGTACAGAATATCATTGCTTATTTCAGTAACCATTTCATTGTCTAAAATTACTTTTCAATTTTTCTTTATAAATTAGATAAAATGCCACCAGTGTATTTCAGAAACCACTGAATTAAATGTTACTTTTGACTCTAGCCAAGCCTAATCAATGAGAAGATTCCACAATTACCTGATCAAACACACCCAGCACCAGGACAGGTAGGGAGGTGTAGAACACATTATACAATGAGATGAAGTAGGGGTCAAACAAGGTCTGAAAATAAGCATACGTTGGCCATAAGGAGGCAACAAAGTTTACACATACATCCACTTTCAAACTTAAGTTCTAGTTAGAAGATTGATCATTAGTAATTTCATTTTCAGATCCTTCCACGCTTTAACTTAACAATAGCAGCCAAATTTTTTCAGTAAAATTTTAAAATGAACACAGCATCCATCTTTCAATTCCACACAAGAGAAAATAAATCACTACAAGCCTACCTGAGCAGAGAAGCCACAGAAGAAAGCAAACCAGAAGTGGCAGAGCGTAAATGCAAAGTTCTTGTAGAAGAAATATTTTAAGAACTTGCACATTCTCAAGTATGACCATCGTCCATGGACCAGCAGCAGACGCTCAAGGTACCTGAACTGTGCTATTGAGTAGTCACTGGCCAACACAGCTTGCATGCCTTCTTGGCCACTGATGCCTATACCAATGTGAGCCACTGAAATCATTACAACATTATTCTAGTGAGTGGAACTCAGAAAATAAACTGGTATTTTCTAATAATAAAAATCAAGGTAGACTAAGATTGTAAACTGCATATTTTAAGTTTGGAAATGAAAAAAGCTGAAATGGACTTCCTACTTTTAATCATGCTAACATCATTAGCCCCATCTCCTATAGAAAGTGTGATAGACTTTTTATGACGTTTGACTAGATCCACCACTAAAGCTTTCTGGAGTGGCGTCACCCTACAGCAGATGACTGCTTTACACATGCAGCCCAGGTTTAGCAAGGTCTTCTCAAGCTCTGGTTTCAATGCTTGGGCCTGTTTCACAAGGGAATTAAAAAATTATCAGTTTGGCATTATAATCATCCATTTATTTTCAAATTTAAAAAAATCACCAATAAGGTTATATTAGGAAAAAATGTTTACTTTAGTTAATTCAGCAAAACAATTTTCATTCAGTTAAAAAATCATAGGAATATAATTATTCTCTAATACAAATGAATCATGGAAAACAAGAGAATTTCAGGACATACCAAACTGTGGCCATTGATGACTAGTGCGAAGTCCCCATACTCATCCTCTGCTGCAGCCACGTTACCGTTCTCCGCAGCATCGTGTGGGTTGGTAACTTTGGCCGATCCATTGCGGAATGACACATCCACCCCAGTCCGCCTCTTGCTGTTCTTTGCTGCATCAATTTCCTCCAGGGCTTTCTTCATCTGAGACTCCACCTCATCATGAGTCTCACCATCAATGATAAACGGCTCCTCCATCTCATCAGTTAACAGCCGACATGAGTAACCAATGTTAATGGCAGTTTCTGTTGCAATTCAAATAATCATCTTAAATATTCATGTAATTCATACATTATGCAAAGGGTTCATTCATCTTAACTTTCATGTAATTCATACATTATGTAAAGAATGTAAAAAAAGTTTTTTGTGCTGAAAAATATTTTGTATTTAAAAAAATATAACCATCAAAGGTCTATGATTGTAATGTGATGAGGTTAAAAATAGACATGACTAATCAGAGTGAGCTACCTTGTTTATCCCCAGTCAGAACCCAAATTTTGATCCCAGCCAATGCCAGGTTGGCAATGGTCTCTGGGACGCCATCTTGCAGCTTGTCTTCAATAGCGGTGGCACCAAGAAGAATCATATCCTTCTCAATTTCTTCATACACAGCATCAAGCTTGCCATCTCGATCATCCATTGTTGTGCTAAACAACAAGAAATTTATTTTACAGAACAAATATGCAGTACTCAATTCTACATTATATTACTTCTTCTTCGTTCTTAATTATTAGTGTTGAAGGGGATCGAGATTTATCTGCCAGTGCGTTTGAACTCGAGACTTTGTTCGAATTTAAACCATGAGCTTTTTTGCTGACTCGACCACACCTCCAACACAAATTAAGCGTTACGTGTCAACTGGTTATGCGCCATTGAGGCCATTGACTCCGATTTCAGCCTGCTTTTCTTTTTGGATTTGCTTCCATAGCCTTTGTCCAACCAAGAACAAACTACAAGGCAGCAGTTGTTTAATTTTGGAGCTGTCTCTCCTAGAAGAGTGGCTGTCCCCAGCTAACGAGCCTCATCTGCCCGAGGGTTCGAACTTGAGACTTTTCGGTTTAGCAACCATGAGCTTTACCGACTCGACCACGCCGACCCCTCATTATATATTATATTACTGATATACATGACAAAAACAATAGCCCACTAAAATATGGATATATAAATCCTGTATAAATTCAGTTGCTGTATTGAGTGAGTAATTGCCATTGTCTTACCTTGCTTCATGATGTCGCTGACTCCAGGTGTTGTAGTATTTTTCATCTATAGTTTTGGATGCCAAAACTAATGTGCGAAGACCCGTTTGTGCAAAGTCCTGAGAAAAAAAAATTGCGCTTTTAAATTGATCATAATTGTACAAATTCTTGCCTATGTTTAAACTGAGAACAATTGTAAAAGTTCCTGCATATAGAATGTCAGGCTGAAGTATGACGTGGCTTACGTTGAGGTGATGAGTTGTGAATTCCTTCAGCTCGTCACACTTCCTATCCAGCAGTTCAAACATGATGGTGTCAGCACCTTTACTCAACAGCTGAATCTTGCCACCTTTCCTCACTATCACCTGTAGACATCACATGTCTTATCAAACACCAAACAAAAATTGACACGCTACAAAAACATGATGGTGTCAGCACCTTTACTCAACAGCTGAATCTTGCCACCTTTCCTCACTATCACCTGTAGACATCACATGTCTTATCAAACAGCAAACAAAAAGTGACACACTACAAAAACATGATGGTGTCAGCACCTTTACTCAACAGCTGAATCTTGCCACCTTTTCTCACTATCACCTGTAAACATCACATGTCTTATCAAACAGCAAACAAAAAGTGACACACTACAAAAACATGATGGTGTCAGCACCTTTACTCAACAGCTGAATCTTGCCACCTTTTCTCACTATCACCTGTAAACATCACAAGCCTTATCAAACAGCAAACAAAAATTGACACGCTACAAAACAAACTTCAATTGTAAGAGACAACAAAAGGTAGTAGCAAATATAACTATATAGAAATTAAAATAACCAAATTAAAAATAACAGACAACAAAAAAAAAATGTCAAAGCAATATTGAATTTAAATAATGCAACAGTGGATTTAAAAGGAGGAAACTAAGTTATTAAAGATGTCACACATGTCATCTAATGATTACTTACAGACATTCTTTTCCTGACATTGTTAAAATCTAGGATGTTAAGAAGTTCATACGTCTCTTCTTCCCCTTGTACCTCTATGGTAATGGTACTTGGAGTTCTTGACTAAAATTAGATCATAGAACCAAAGCTGATTATTGACAGAAATATGGTACTTTGAAGACAAATTATTATGACAATTTAGACAAAAAAGTGAAAATAAAGACTCAAAAATAACCTATGACAAACACTGACAATAAAGACAAAAAACAATTAATGTAAAAAAAAAACTATGAATGTAAAAAAAAAAAACAAAGAAAAACAATGAGACTACCTTAAAGACAAAGCCAAAGTTTCTGGCAGCAGACACCAAGGCCCCTTCATCTGGAGACTGGGCCTGGTACTCTAGTGAACCTGAGGACAAAACAATACAGAAATACTTGATGTGCTCTACACTTTTACATTTTTTACAGACTTATTTCTGTTAACTTTATGTTGAAGAATGTAAGTGTAAGCTAGTTCTATTAAAATAAAGCAAGCAAGCTTTTTTTTAAAGAACTATTTTAAAAATTATCTTTCACTATGGATTACACAAAAACATCAACTGAAGTGAAACCTACAAAGCCAGCAGAAAAAAAAGATGATCCCAAAACCACATGGCAGATGAGAAGTTGAGGCAGACAGAGTTAACTTACCATCACTCTTGACCTCTGGCATGACAGTGTGGCACAGAGCCATTGAGGCAGACAGAGTTAACTTACCATCACTCTTGACCTCTGGCATGACAGTGTGACACAGAGCCAGCAGGGTAAAAAACATGTTGACCATCTCATTGTTGTTGTGTACCTCGTCCACCAAGGCTGAGTCGTAAAAGTCAAAACCTTTTTCTGCATAAGGGTTCCAGGACAAATCCACCCTAGGTGTTCTCTGTTAACATTACAAGAGTGAATAGTGGGGGGGAAAAGTCACAATTATAATATACTGATTTCCTAAAGTGAAAACTCGATCTTCAATGGCAAAACCTACTCTTGTAATATCAAGGTCACAACATGAGCACAAGAGTGTTTGGTGTCAGAGAAAGTGAGAAAAAAAATGTACCTCTGTAATTTCTATTGCATTTCCTTCCATATCAACTGGATCACCATAAGACTTGCCATTTATTGAACATTTGTTGAATGTCATTATATTCTGTCAAAAAAAAAACATTTTCTATTTCAGTAACAGATGGTCAATTAATTAAGTAATTAAATTTTTATTTTATTAAGATGTTTCATTTACACAAAAAGAAAGAACGCAAAACACTGTTAGAGTAGAAAAAGATTGTAAGAAATCAATAAAACATACCTGTGTTAAAGTTCCCGTTTTATCAGAAAAAATGTACTCTATTTGACCTAATTCTTCATTTAGAGTTGTGGTCCTTGCTTTAGCAGGCGTATCTTTTTTATCATAGTACATTTTTACATCCCAGTTAATCCACAAACTATGTGCAAGACGAATTATTTCAACACTGATGGGGGAAAAAATATTAAAAACAATTTTGTTGGTTACAGCAGCAGCAGATTAAAGTAAAACCACAGCTAATGTGTTTATATAACTTAAGCTGGCAACAGTGGCTACAAATCATGAGGTGTCAAGGAATATTTGGTTCTTGTAAGTTGGAGGTTGGTAAAAATGGAATACACAGTAAATACATTTTATAATTCCTTATCTAATACTAATTTTAAGATGATTGTTGCTGCATTGTGGCCACTCTGTCAAAGATTGCCACTGGTAGAAAGAGGAAATGGTAAATATTTGTCCTGCTTTCAATACAATAACATACAAAGGAGTTTAAAATAGATATCTCAGTGTACACAAGCTATAGGATAAGCTGATTAAGTTCTCACCTGACATATAGAGATATAGGCACTACAGTGTTTAAGATGATGATGTATGAAAGAAACACAAGGACGGCAATTGTTACAGCTCCAGCGGCTACATCTTTAGTCACAAAAGGCTCCCATGGGAGGTAAGCTTGAAAGTAGGTCCCAGTCATCACCTCCCAGATGATGCAAGCTATTGTACAGATCAGGCACATCACCACAAGAAACAAGAAAATCTGAGGACAAAAATAGCCACGGGGTAGTTCATTCATACAGCAAAACAAGGGGATCTGGGGGCAAAAATAGCCATGGGGTAGTTCATTCATACAGCAAGTATCTTAATTGTACAAAATGGACAAGAGGTAAAATCTTATTGAATTTCCTTCATCAAAACAGGAAGTTACAAATGTACTCCCAATAAACAACAATGACTGACCATATTTGTATAATTAATACACCACAGATTTGGTGTTTGTATAGCAACTTTGTAGCAAGGAAATGGAGATAAAACCATCAGCAGTGTAATGTAACAAAAACTATCAACTCACGCCAATGATGAGAATGTTCATGAGGCGGTCAATGTTGGTGCGTTTAAAGGTTGACTTGCCGCTGTTCATCATCAGCTTGGTGTCCCTGCCTGCAAACACAACAATGCCGTAGCACCACTGGGTGTTCCTCAGGACACACCCCCTCAGCAGGATCTTCTCATTGTCCAGGGAGTAAGTTTTGCTGTTCCAGATCATTTTTCCCTCAAACTTGCTTAACCTATTGTTGGGGGGTTCACTAACTATTTCAGCTGAAATTAAATAGGTTGGAACATCAGGTTTTAAAATGGGGAGATCACAAAAAATTAACAAAAAAATAAAAACAAATCCATGTGTCTAAAATAAATGGAGAACGTATTAAGCCTTGTGATACCAACCATTAAATTCAGCAAGTTTGGTCAAGTTATCTCCCAGCTCTGATGTGTCCTCTAAAGCTTGGCGGACTTTAAGGTTGGTCTCCCTGTTAGGCAAAGAACAACTTGTCAGGGTAACAATGTGGGTGTCACAACTTTAATACATATAGCAGTGATTAGTTTATATGTTAGAACTACATATACAATAACATAATATCAGAACTATGTCTCAGAGCTACAGATCTAGTCATGGGACGGTGTGATTGGGTGGTGCAGCACGACTGCTAACACATAAGTCTCAAGATTAGATCTCTGACATGAGCCTTTAGTGTGCCTCTAAGTCTAGCTCTTATGGGTAGCTGACTCATGTTAGGAGAAGTATATGTGGTAGGGCATAGTGATGAGTACACCTTCCATTCTTAAGCCATGATAAAATAAAACAGATTAACTCTAGTTCATCTTCTCTATGTAATCCCATATGACAAGTACCAACGTAAATATCAGAATAAAATAGTTGAATTTACTGACCCATCCAACTCAGCAGTTTCAATGTAGCACAAACTGTGGGGTTCACTAGTTGACAGAAGCAAAAGGTCAGCCTAAAAAAGAAAATGACATGAAATCACCTGAACACAACAGCTCTTTTACACTACACACTATCGGCACCTCTACTTACAGCAATGTAGTCATTGTTTTTAAGCAGTATAATATCTCCAACCACCACTTTATGCCAGCGTTCCTCTACAATTTTTTTGTCTCGCAACACATAAGATCTCCTGTTGTTAACTTGGTCGTCACTTCTGTGGCGTTGCTTTAACACAGAGAAAATAAACTCAATAGAACAGCTCCTACAGCTGATAGTTTAATCACAGGAATATTTTTATAATATTTTATTTTATACATTCACCTAGTACTGCATGGGTATTTTAATGGACAGCTTATGGGGGTCATCCATAAATGAAAGTGTGACTTTATACTTTAAAAGGCTGCTGTTTAAAATGTGAAACTGAATTTTGGCATTTATTTTTTACTTTTTCAGAAATGGTCAAATAAAAAGTATGATGACTTTTATGGATGGCCCCTGTTGGTTAGTAAAGATAAGTGTTAAATTGAGATAATGTTACATGTTATAAGATTACTTGAGAAGCACTGTTTACAGCCTACACTACTTTATGAATGACCAAATAAAATAGTTAAATCAAGAGGCTGCTTCATCACTATGTTTTTATTACAAATGTTACTAATGGAACCTAACTAGAATAACTTCATAGTTAAGTAATAAACTAGTTTATTTTTGTTAGAAAAAAATGTAATATATATTTTTTATTTAACCTTATATAAAAAGAAAAATTCAGATTTTCAATACATAACAATATAAGTGCATGCTTGGTGAAGTCAAATAGTACAAAAATAAAAGTATAAAAAAAACAGCAAGCCAAACACCAAAAGCAGGGGGGAAGGTCACAAAATCAGGTAGCTTTAAGCTGTAGGTTAGTGATAGCTGAGAAGGTTAATTGGTGCATGTTTATTTTGTGTGAGTGAAACATTAGTCACTGACACAAAGGTTAATGGGTTCATGTTTGTCAGTTGCTGATGTTAGTCAGCTGATAGACACAGCTCCCACAGAATCTGTTGTAGCCCAGACACCTCCCACAGAATCTGTTGTAGCCCAGACACCTCCCACAGAATCTGTTGTAGCCCAGACACCTCCCACAGAATCTGTTGTAGCCCAGACACCTCCCACAGAATCTGTTGTAGCCCAGACACCTCCCACAGAATCTGTTGTAGCCCAGACACCTCCCACAGAATCTGTTGTAGCCCAGACACCTCCCACAGAATCTGTTGTAGCCCAGACACCTCCCACAGAATCTGTTGTAGCCCAGACACCTCCCACAGAATCTGTTGTAGCCCAGACACCTCCCACAGAATCTGTTGTAGCCCAGACACCTCCCACAGAATCTGTTGTAGCCCAGACACCTCCCACAGAATCTGTTGTAGCCCAGACACCTCCCACAGAATCTGTTGTAGCCCAGACACCTCCCACAGAATCTGTTGTAGCCCAGACACCTCCCACAGAATCTGTTGTAGCCCAGACACCTCCCACAGAATCTGTTGTAGCCCAGACACCTCCCACAGAATCTGTTGTAGCCCAGACACCTCCCACAGAATCTGTTGTAGCCCAGACACCTCCTACAGAATCTGTTGTAGCCCATAGACACCTCCCACAGAATCTGTTGTAGCCCAGACACCTCCCACAGAATCTGTTGTAGCCCAGACACCTCCCACAGAATCTGTTGTAGCCCAGACACCTCCCACAGAATCTGTTGTAGCCCAGACACCTCCCACAGAATCTGTTGTAGCCCAGACACCTCCCACAGAATCTGTTGTAGCCCAAACAACTCCCACAGAATCTGTTGTAGCCCAGACACCTCCCACAGAATCTGTTGTAGCCCAGACACCTCCCACAGAATCTATTGTAGCCCAGACACCTCCCACAGAATCTGTTGTAGCCCAGACACCTCCCACAGAATCTGTTGTAGCCCAGACACCTCCCACAGAATCTATTGTAGCCCAGACCTAAGCTATGCCAGAAACTTACTTTAACACTTCACAAGGAGAACAGTTTTAAAATCTCCATGAGTATTTAAGAATATGATGTTTTAACCTTTAAATGAACTTACTCATCGCTCTAGATGAATACACTGGTGGTTGTGTTGAGTGTGTTGGTGTCTACTCAACAATTGTATACTATGTAGAGAACTGAGCATAAAATAACTGGATTGTATACAGGTGGTAGTTTAAATAACCTTGTACCCTCATCTCTATTATATAGGCAGATGCTGTTAGTCATGAATTTGTTATAGGGATGAATTTACAGAATACTTTCAATTGTTCAAGTTAACTTGTTTCTAGAATGGTATAACAGAAATATAAAACTGCCAACTATATCAAGAGAACTAGCTACTTGATGATTTTAATCATGCATGCTAACAAATGCAAGACTAACTAAGGAAATCACTTTCTACATTGGCATAGTTCAAATTATACAACGAATTTTTTAAACAAAAGTTTCAATGTTCTTGTGTTCCACTCATAGCAGATGTTTATCAATTCCAGATGTTATTGTAACTCAGAGACAAATAACAGAGATACATATGTTGTAGCAAGCCTCAGTAGGAAAGAATAGAAAGATACCTATGTTGTTATTGTAAGCCTCAGTATGATAGAATAGAAAGATACCTATGTTGTTATTGTAAGCCTCAGTATGATAGCATAGAAAGATACCTATGCTGTTATTGTATGCCTCAGTAGGATATAATAGAGAGATACCTATGCTGTTATTGCAAGCCTTGGTAAAAGAAGACTTAATGAGTTTACACCTTCATCTAACAGGAAGGGCCTACACAAATGTTAAATAACAGGTGTTGCATGCCCCATTATATAATATTATGGTTTCATTTTTTTAAAAGTTTTAATTAAGTTAGCATTTAAAATGCTGTTAATTAAATAAGTATTCTTTCTAATGAAATTTAATTCTAACTGAATACATGAAACATGCACGGATACAAAGCTTGAAAATGACCTTTATTTCACAATAAACCTTTGATAAGAGAGTACAGTTAAAGAGAGTACATCTACAGACAGCATGCCATCAACACCACAATATAGAGGAGTGGTGGAAGATTGTTAGTCACAGGTGTCTTCACAGGCTAAATGTGAGGCACACTAGAGGCTTGTAGAAGGTGTGTTACAGCTTGTTAGATATACAAGGTTTCACTAGAAGGTGTGTTACAGTTTGTTAGATATACAAGGTTTCACTAGGTGTGTTACAGCTTGTTAGATATACAAGGTTTCACTAGGTGTGTTACAGCTTGTTAGATATACAAGGTTTTTACTATAATGTGTGTTACAGTTTGTTAGATACACAAGGTTTCACGAGAAGGTGTGTTACAGCTTGTTAGATATACAAGGTTTTTACTATAATGTATGTTACAGTTTGTTAGATACACAAGGTTTCACGAGAAGGTGTGTTACAGCTTGTTAGATATACAAGGTTTCACTAGGTGTGTTACAGCTTGTTAGAAAGGTTTTCATTAGAAGGTGTGTTACAGCTTGTTAGAAAGGTTTTCATTAGAAGGTGTGTTACAGCTTGTTAGAAAGGTTTTCATAAGAAGGTGTGTTACAGTTTGTTAGATCAATATACAAAGTTTTCAGCATGCTTCAAATAGCCATGCAGACAGAGAAATCTTTTATTAGATTAAGAGAGTACACAAAAAACAGTCGTTCAAATTTATTCTATAACACTCATGAACAATAGTTGAGAGAAAGTATTAAATGTGTAAAATTACAGTACGACTACAGCAATAAGCTAACACTGAACAAGCTCTGGATTTACCCAATCTTGTCTCTATGGTCTCAAGACTAGCTCACACGTTCATAAGTGGCTTACTAATCAGTCATTTATTCATACATACTTGCATGCGTACATGCAACCCTGAGCATACATACATGCATACATGCAACCCTGAGCATACATACATGCGTACATGCATGCTCCCTTAAAACAAACACTGCTGTCATGCCCAGCCTATTGAACCAACCAAGGGTTAAAGGTCAGGGTTGACCTCTCAGAGCCCTAGAGACAACACGTACAACTATGAGAAAGCAAAGATCTAACACAAAGGAAGTGTTGAGCCTGTCTCTGGTAAACTCACATAGTCATCAAGAGCATCTTTGAGTGCAGACAGCAGCAGCACTGCAGCAAGGGGGATAAGAGTGGTCACTGGTGTCAGAGATGAGATAACTGGCAACATCTACACGCCCACATAGCCCGCGGGGGAAATACAAGAAATAAAAAGGATCAATAAGGAAATAAATGCTAGCTTTTTAAGGCCTTTAGTGCTGCAGTTGATGGAACCTCTAATGCTTAGTCCCTACAGAACCTAAAGAAAAATCTGGCCATTAGATAACAATGATCCTGTGGTACAATATGGCATATATAAAAATATAGGGTGAACAACAACAAATTAGGGGGGAGGCAAGAATTTGATTCAAAGCAAATAAAAACCTGCCCTGTATGGCAAAGGAAAAATGAACAATATGAAAGCAGAAAAAAAAGTTATTTGAAATGTGAGGTTATTTCAATGCCTGTTAATTGCTTGTTATTACAAGACATGTAGTGTATTAGAATACTAAAATTCTATTTGAAAAATTAGGGAAAAAAACCCTATCACCAGACCAGCCCCTAACTAAATACTGTTTCATTAACTCAATTACAAATGTAAACAAAACTCTGGGGTCACAATCAGTGGTTGTAATTTCTGTGGGGTCAATTTCTGTAACAAACATAATGAGCTGGTGTGAGGATAGGATAAAACAAAATTCTGACTAAAAAAAAATGCCACTAAAACTTCTCTAGCTATGCCTGTGTCGATGCCTTTAAGCAATAAAAAAAAACAATGTGCAAGAGAACAAGGATCTGTTAATGTTAGGTTAACGTTTAGTGAAAACTACAAAAGTGTACAGAATATATATATATATGGCTATGTATATGTAGAAATAATAGGGACAAAAGCAATATATTGCACAAAGTGCAAGACCAGCTGCCGGTACTACAGAGTGGCTGCAGCTATGCAGACTTACAAAGTCATCTATAGCCTCCTTTATGGCAGAGATACTCAGCACAAAGACCAGGGGGATTACAGTAGCTGCAGGCTCCAGGGAGCTGACTGCTGGAATAAACTGTCATGGTAGCTATGGTTAAAGGTTAATACAGGAAACATTGGATACACGCGTCTTAGGCATAGGCTAATTAAGGTAATAATTAGTTCAACATTTTAAACTGCTGTGGTAATGTACATTACAAGGCTAAAAAAGATAATCCACAATTATCATTAGTTCTACATTATAAATTATTGTGGTAATGTAATTACAAAGCTAACAAGATTGATACATAAATTATTGTTAGTTCAACTTTTGAAGCACAACTGTCTTCTACTGGAGTAAATAGAGGCAGGTTAGTTAAGCACAGTATAAAATAAAACAATGAAGAGAAATTCACATGAAAAACTGAATTCTGACACTCTTAGTTTTAAATTTTTAAAACCACTGGTTCAACCTCAAGCTTCTAGTGTAATCAAACATTGATTAATAATTCAACGGTTTTCACCAAATACAACCTAAGTTTACTTTTATACTTTTATTTTTTAAAGCAAAAAAAAAGTACTGAATAATTTGTATTAATACTAGCTAGTAACATTTGGGCCTGCTTTCATTGTCCATATGGGCTAAACATGTCAAAGACTAGACAAACAGATGTCTGTACTGTAGCACGAAAACTTAGCCAAGCTGTTCACTTCAACAGAGGACTACCTCACAACATTGTATGGACCATCACAAGATATAACATGAAAACTTAGCCAAGCTGTTCACTTCAACAGGGCTACCTCACAACATTGTATGGACCATCACAAGATATATTATAACATGAAAACTTAGCCAAGCTGTTCACTTCAACAGGGCTACCTCACAACATTGTATGGACCATCACAAGATATAACATGAAAACTTAGCCAAGCTGTTCACTTCAACAGGGGGCTACCTCACAACATTGTATGGACCATCACAAGATATAACATGAAAACTTAGCCTAGCTGTTCACTTCAACCCCTGCTACCTCACAACATCGTATGGACCATCACAAGATATAACATGAAAACTTAGCCAAGCTGTTCACTTCAACAGGGCTACCTCACATTGTATGGACCATCACAAGATATATTATAACATAAAAACTTAGCCAATCTGTTCACTTCAACAGGGCTACCCCAGCAACATTGTATGGACCATCACAAGATATAACATGAAAACTTAGCCAAGCTGTTCACTTCAACAGGACTACCTCACAACATTGTATGGACCATCACAAGATATAACATGAAAACTTAGCCTAGCTGTTCACTTCAACAGGGCTATCTCACAACATTGTATGGACCATCACAAGATATAACATGAAAACTTAGCCTAGCTGTTCACTTCAACCCCTGCTACCTCACAACATCGTATGGACCATCACAAGATATAACATGAAAACTTAGCCAAGCTGTTCACTTCAACAGGGGGCTACCTCACAACATTGTATGGACCATCACAAGATATAACATGAAAACTTAGCCAAGCTGTTCACTTCAACAGGGCTACCTCACAACATTGTATGGACCATCACAAGATATAACATGAAAACTTAGCCTAGCTGTTCACTTCAACAGGGCTACCTCACAACATTGTATGGACCATTACAAGATATAACATGAAAACTTAGCCAAGCTGTTCACTTCAACAGGGGGCTACCTCACAACATTGTATGGACCATCACAAGATATAACATGAAAACTTAGCCAAGCTGTTCACTTCAACAGGGGGCTATCTCACAACATCGTATGGACCATCACAAGATATAACATGAAAACTTAGCCAAGCTGTTCACTTCAACAGGGCTACCTCACAACATCGTATGGACCATCACAAGATATAACATGAAAACTTAGCCAAGCTGTTCACTTCAATAGGGCTATCTCACAACATTGTATGGACCATCACAAGATATAACATGAAAACTTAGCCAAGCTGTTCACTTCAACAGGGGGCTACATCACAACATTGTATGGACCATCACAAGATATAACATGAAAACTTAGCCTAGCTGTTCACTTCAACAGGGCTACCTCACAACATTGTATGGACCATCACAAGATATAACATGAAAACTTAGCCAAGCTGTTCACTTCAACAGGGCTATCTCACAACATTGTATGGACCATCACAAGATATAACATGAAAACTTAGCCTAGCTGTTCACTTCAACAGGGCTACCTCACAACATTGTATGGACCATCACAAGATATAACATGAAAACTTAGCCAAGCTGTTCACTTCAACAGGGCTATCTCACAACATTGTAGGGACCATCACAAGATATAACATGAAAACTTAGCCAAGCTGTTCACTTCAACAGGGCTACCTCACAACATCGTATGGACCATCACAAGATATATTATAACATGAAAACTTAGCCAAGCTGTTCACTTCAACAGGGCTATCTCACAACATTGTATGGACCATCACAAGATATAACATGAAAACTTAGCCAAGCTGTTCACTTCAACAGGGCTACCTCACAACATTGTATGGACCATCACAAGATATAACATGAAAACTTAGCCAAGCTGTTCACTTCAACAGGGCTACCTCACAACATTGTATGGACCATCACAAGATATATTATAACATGAAAACTTAGCCAAGCTGTTCACTTCAACAGGGCTACCTCACAACATTGTATGGACCATTACAAGATATAACATGAAAACTTAGCCAAGCTGTTCACTTCAACAGGGCTACCCCAGCAACATTGTATGGACCATCACAAGATATATCACTTGCATGTTTGACTGTGTGTTAATCTTCATTTATAATTTCCAATTTCTGATAGTTAGTTGAAGGATAAGGTTATTAGCTCTAAGAATTAATCTCACATAAATTCATCTCTATGTACCCTAAAGTCTAGAAAATAAATCTGACGTTAAAAATATATAAGCGTATTTAATTTTCAGAGAATCATTGCAACACATTTAAGGCTATGTTTGTAAGCAAAGCACTGAGATTATAGGCCAGACAGTGAAGGTAACACATTGAAAGGTAAGCTAATAGCAACTATACAATAGAGGCAGTCAGAGTATGAGGATGATTTATAACATTCATAAATGTTGCGTGTCTTATAATTTGTAATGGTGGGAGTAAGCATTTCAAATATTGCAATCTAATGATGTATTACAATGGGGACATTTAAAGTTCAACTAAAGAAATTAGCTCAACATTATTAATCAAACATGTATAATATCAGTTGTATCCACAGAATGTATCAAGACACCTTGGAAAGTCAAACTATTGTGCTTAAAATCACTTACTATAAGCATTTAAATATACTAACATAATGTCATCAAGTAGAAAATATTAAGTGTGATTCCAGATTTTATAAGACAAAGCAAATTTTAAAAATTCTGATAGGATTAACTTTCTAAAGATGGTTGTTGGCAACTCTTAATTCCACGGTGTAAAAGAATGGTGATGGATATATGTAACAGATCTACGGGGTGGTTGTGTGCGATACCAATCACAAAATGTTTAGTGCAGGTCTATACAAATATCTTTAACTTATTTGTAATTTTATAGCTGATGTTAAGTTCTTCTATTCTTACTGTATATCTGTATACATATGGGTAGATCTCAGAAAAGACATGAAGGCCTAGACTCCCTCTTCCCTCTCTCAAGACATATATAAATAAAAGCCTCTGGGGGGGTATATCATTCACGTGTCTTAAGCTACCATTATAAAACAGACAAGTTAACTTCAAATGGCTGGGACTTGACAAGATCTGGAGCTGTAAACAAATGGAATAAATGAGATGACTCAACGTGCTGCAACAAGAAACAGAAGTCAATGGCTGTGTAATAGACACCTGCTGGGTTATTGAAGATGCTCATCCTGTAATTAGCTCACCTAAACATTCATTAAAAGAAGAACATTGGCATTAAGACAAAAAAATATATGCTGTAAAAAAAACATGGCATTAGTTGATAATGAGCGCAATATGTCTAAAACCAACATTAAACAAGACTTTTGTGTGAAATCTACCTGGACAAACATATGTTTTTATGTGATGTAGGAGCCAGATAATAGAAGGCATGTAAACATACAATCTACCCATACAAACAAACATACAAGTGTAGGTATGAGTCAGAGACGTACAAAAAGACACGAGTGTATGTGAGCCAGAGACTAGAAGAAAAATCTACCTGTACATACATACGAGTGTATGTGATGTATGGGCCAGAGACTAGAAGATTTATCTATCCATATAAACAAACATATAAATGTATGTGACGTAAGAGCCAGAGACTAGAAGACATATCTACTCATATATGATGTATGAGCCAGTGATTAGAAGATATCTACATGTACATACAAACATATGAGTGTATGTGAAGTTTGAGCCAGAAACTATAGGACATATCTACCAATATACGATGTATGATTAGAAGACATGTACATACAAACATATGAGTGTATGTGATATGAGCCAGTGATAGGAAGACATGTACATACAAACATATGAGTCTATGTGATGTATGAACCAGAGGCAGGCACTCACCTGGAGTACAAGGAGCCCCAAGAAGTAAGCATTGGCCAACCTTTGAAACTGCTCAAACAAGTTCTTGGGCAGGAATGTAAAAATGTTGTACTTGGATGTGGAAATGTAATTGTTCTGGGGAAAAATTTGTTATTTATAACTTATACATCAACAAAGTGGGTTAACTCTCTGTGTTATACTATTGTAATACATCAACAGGTGGGTGAACTATGTGTTATACTATTGTAATACATCAACAGGTGGGTGAACTATGTCTGTGTTATACTATTGTAATACATCAACAGGTGGGTGAAGTATGTCTGTGTTATACTATTGTAATACATCAACAGGTGGGTGAAGTATGTCTGTGTTATACTATCAGGAGGGTGAAGTATGTCTGTGTTATACTATTGTAATACATCAACACGTGGGTGAAGTATGTCTGTGTTATACTATTGTAATACATCAACACGTGGGTGAAGTATGTCTATGTTATACTATTGTAATACATCAACAGGTGGGTGAAGTATGTCTGTGTTATACTATTGTAATACATCAACAGGTGGGTGAAGTATGTCTGTGTTATACTATCAGGAGGGTGAAGTATGTCTATGTTATACTATTGTAATACATCAACAGGTGGGTGAAGTATGTCTGTGTTATACTATCAGGTGGGTGAAGTATGTCTGTGTTATACTATTGTAATACATCAACAGGTGGGTGAAGTATGTCTATGTTATACTATTGTAATACATCAACAGGTGGGTGAACTATGTGTTATACTATTGTAATACATCAACAGGTGGGTGAACTATGTCTGTGTTATACTATTGTAATACATCAACAGGTGGGTGAATTATGTCTGTGTTATACTATTCTAATACAATACATCAACAGGTGGGTGAATTATGTCTGTGTTATACTATTCTAATACAATACATCAACAGGTGGGTGAACTATGTGTAATACATCAACAGAAGGGTGAAAGACATGTGGGTGAACTATGTCTGTGTTATACTATTCTAATACAATACACCAACAGGTGGATGAACTGGATGATAAATTGGTAAAAAAAAATTATCTTTAAACCAACTACTCACTGCATATCCAAACTGTGCATTGAACTCTGGGTCATTGACTTTAATAATACGTTCAATCTCTGTGAAACAAAACAAAATTATAATAATCATTGGCTTAACTATGACAGGTTAATGGAGAGACGTGTTAGGTATAGTTCTATTGGCATATGACAATCAGAAATATAATTTACCATTTTTCCTTCTGGTGGATAGTGGATTGTGGTATCCACTCCTAAATCTTCTCTTTTCGCTCATATTGACTCAGACAAATTAGCATATTGAAAAGATCCAGGTGTTTGCTAAACTAGTAATGTCATCACTTTCAGATACTATATGTTTAATGATTTATTGTTTTTATGATTTCCAAACAGCACAAAAAATGTCCAATATTTATGACAGTTGACTGTATAAACAGGAGTTTTTCACACACCCTGCACTTTTAGTTATGGATTCTTAACTCTAATTTGAGAAATAGTTTTAAAAATAAGAAACAGAAGTCCAAACATACTAAATCATTCAAACTTAATCTCACTCAATTATATCAATAATTTTTTTTTATTGGCCCTTTGTAATGTACCAGTGTATATAAAAGTTTTGTCAAAATGAATATAATCTGACTAGAAGTAAAAATGCTAATGCAGTAGGCCTATTCATTATTCACAGTATTTATAAAAAATTCCATTTAAAACTATCCACCTCATATCTACGGCAGTAAAATAACAGCTAGGCCTATAAGAATTCATGTCTGACCAGAAATAACATGAGCAACAATATACAATGAAAAATTACTGGCTAATTTTTTTCCTACCACAGATGAAATATAATAAAAGCTAACATCACTTCCTAAATTTTTGACCATAGATGAAATAAACTTAAAGTTGACATAACTGACTTTTTAACCACAGATGCAATGTGAAATGCTTCATAGTGTCAAAAAATAAGAGATAACCATATTGAATAGATAATGGCTACTTGTAAAAGTTTTTTCTTAAAAGTAAAAGGTGTTTATACTTTAACAAATTTGTTCTAACACAAAATACACCAAACAATGTCTAGTATGTGTAGAAGTAGAAAAGCTACCATGAGAGCAATGCTGAACCAAATTATTTTCTCTCAGATAATCATTGCAAGTACTAGACCTACAAATCACTTCCCAGTATCAAATCACATTTTTCAATACTTTTGACTCTACTTATGGTCATCAAACTAAATCAACAAACAGCCATTGGTGGTAGCCTTGACCAAATTGAACTGCTCAGTGTGCTCATGTGTAAGACAATTTCTTCTGTGTCTAGTCTAGCAATAGGTGATTAAGTTGTGTGGACTCAAAGGTTGGGTTAAGTACTAGTCTAATTAAGTTGGCTACTATTGGACACCTGCCACACATCACAGGAAGGTAAGTAAGGCAACTCAACATTATTTACACAGTGGTGGCTTCTGTCACTTTGTTTTGTACTCAATTCACGACAGACCAGATTCTCACATACAAAGTAGTGCATATTCCCAGACAGTGAAAACAACAAAGTAGTGCATATTCCCACAGTGTCACAAAAAGCCGGACCAAATGCAAACAATCTGTTATTTGAAGACCTTGGCCTTAAAGCTTTACCTAAGGCGGAACAAACCTAATGCCTAAGGCTAGCCTACGGACTAGGGTAACCACAGTCCGTGGTCAACTTAAGTACAGTAATCACAGATGTTACAATAAAAGGAAACAATTTAGACTAGATATCTAGATCTATATTTAGTATTTAGGTAAACTGATCACTAAGAAAACCCAGCTTAGTACTGTAACAAGTACACTTAGTAAGTATCACACCTGGTCTAATTTATACATGTAAATTAAACTGCTCGTGTGATAAAACTTAAAACCAAAATGGTAGTAATCAAACAACGTAATATTTCCTGCACTTTGAATGCAAGTGGTTGGCGATAATCTTGTATAAAAATCCGATAACAGAGCGGAAACAGTCCAAGTGTGTAGCCCAGCCCCGTGGAAGTAGTGAACGTCGGGCCGCCAATGTCAGGATACGGGGGAGGACACACTGTTTACATCTACACCGTGTACACACCGTGCGCACCAATCATTTCTTCCGCCAGCTTTGTGGGTCACGGGGGCAACAAAACAACACGGACACACTAATCTTCGGGCAGGGGAAATCAAAGGAGAAAATCGCTGGGGGGGGGGGGGGGGGGGGGCAGTTCGGGGAATAATATAAACTTTAATCAATACGAAGTGTAACCGATAATAATAGTAATAAAATGAAGATCTAAATTAAGATCAGTGTATAAGGTTTTCCTTTAACTTGTAACAGTTCAAGCCAGCTAGAATCTATAACTGTTTGCAGACGACAGTCTCTCTTATAGATTGTTACGCCCCAGTAGATTAGGAGAAATACGGCGGATTATTTTAGAGAGGTGAACTACTAGTGTGTAGACAGCGATCCAGCCATACCTGAGGCTTACTGATGATTAACCTCGCTCATCAAATGAAACGGCTAATTAACTAACACAGATATGGAATGAGGCATTTCGAGCACCCCCAGCTCCCCTCTAAATTAGCATGTACTAAAATAGGTGTATTTAATTACTGACACATCTCAATACTCGAGTGTGTGTGTTGGCAGGTTGTGTGTAGCTGCGTACATCTGCTGGTGTGGACTGACAATAATAGGATTAAACGGTAAAATAAACACAGGGGAAAATCGATAGTCAGGCTATTTTACAAGACTCCAACTTTCGGAGGGGAATATCTCCATCTTTCAGATCTAACCGTTAGATACAGTAACCACACATTTAGTGAACCTTTAGACACAGTAACCAAACATATAGTGAACCTTTAGACACAGTAAACCGTTAGACATAGTAACCAAACCTTTCGTAAACCGTTAGACACACTAACTTAACATTTCGTAAACCGTTAGACACAGTAACCAAACATTTAGTGAACCGTTAGACACAGTAACCTAACATTTCGTAAACCGTTAGACACAGTAACCACACATTTAGGGAACCCTTAGACACAATAACTTCACGTTTTGTAAACCTTTGGACACAGTAATCTCACAGCCAGCGAGGTAAACATGTTGCTTCACAATGGACAGTCACGTAGCCCAATGGAGCTTGGTGGTAGCAATCAGTGTCTACATTAACACATCTCAGTGTCTGAAAATATGCATCAGTACCTACCAACATAATGCAGTTCTCTAACGTTTGCCAAAACCATACTCTGATGCCTGCCTACAATATACCCCAATGTCTGTCAATACCATACTCGATAGTCTGCCATACTCGAATGTCTGCCATTCCCCAATGTCTGACAACACTAAGTCTCAGCATATATCAATGTCTGCCAACGCCATACCCCAATGTCTCCCGTACCCCAATGTCTGCCATACTCCAATGTCTGCCATAATGTCTGCCATACCCCAATGTCTGCTGTAACCAAATGTCTGCCATACTCCAATGTCTGCCATACCCCAATGTCTGCCATACCCCAATGTCTGCCATAACCCAATGTCTGCCATAACCCAATGTCTGCCATACCCCAATGTCTGCCATAACCCAATGTCTGCTGTACCCTAACGTCTGTCATACCCCAATGTCTGCCATAATGTCTGCCATACCCCAATGTCTGCTGTAACCAAATGTCTGCCATACTCCAATGTCTGCCATACCCCAATGTCTGCCATACCCCAATGTCTGCCATACCCCAATGTCTGCCATAATGTCTGCCATACCCCAATGTCTGCTGTAACCAAATGTCTGCCATACTCCAATGTCTGCCATACCCCAATGTTTGCTGTAACCAAATGTCTGCCATACTCCAATGTCTGCCATACCCCAATGTCTGCTGTAACCAAATGTCTGCCATACTCCAATGTCTGCCATACCCCAATGTCTGCCGTAACCAAATGTCTGCTGTAACCAAATGTCTGCCATACCCCAATGTCTGCCATACCCCAATGTCTGCCATACCCCAATGTCTGCCATACCCCAATGTCTGCCATAACCCCAATGTCTGCCATACCCCAATGTCTGCCATACCCCAATGTCTGCCATAACCCAATGTCTGCCATACCCCAATGTCTGCCATACCCCAATGTCTCCCGTAACCCAATGTCTGCCATAACCCAATGTCTGCCATACCCCAATGTCTGCCATAACCCAATGTCTGCCATACCCCAATGTCTGCTGTACCCTAACGTCTGCCAGCCCATACCCCGCTGCACCCAACTACAATTGATGAGAACCAAAGCGAGATGCTGGCTCGTGTTTACAATTGGCACTCCTGCTGCAGCTACAGATGACGCGACATGCCCACATTAAAAGTTGATGGGATACAAATCCTGCCCGTGTTTGACGGGCCTGTTTCTTGTTCAGACATCTTGATACATTTACCGCACGAACGTCAGGTAAGTTCACTTCGCCATGTGCTCAATGTTTGGGTTCACTAATTCATGTGCTCAATGTCTGGGTTCACTAATTCATGTGCTAAATGTTTGGGTTCACTAATTCATGTGCTCAATGGCTGGGTTCACTAATTCATGTGCTCAAAGCCTGGGTTCACTAATTCATGTGCTCAATGGCTGGGTTCACTAATTCATGTGCTCAATGGCTGGGTTCACTAATTCATGTGCTCAATGGCTGGGTTCACTAATTCATGTGCTCAATGGCTGGGTTCACTAATTCATGTGCTCAATGGCTGGGTTCACTAATTCATGTGCTCAATGGCTGGGTTCACTAATTCATGTGCTCAATGGCTGGGTTCACTAATTCATGTGCTCAATGGCTGGGTTCACTAATTCATGTGCTCAATGGCTAGGTACACTTCACCATCAGCTTGATGTCTGAGTTAATCCTTATTTGCCTGTAGGCGATAGTGACGACATATAAAAGCGCATAGTTATAATTTCCAATGCTTGTATTAGTTGTATTAGCCCTGCCACGAGAAGCCGTGTGATAGCCAATGACAGAACACAGGTCTGACGACAACACACGATGAACTATGTCACAGCCACCACAACGTAAACAACACACCATCGCACTAGTTTTACAGAGTTAGGCCTAAACAGCTAGTTCTTCATCATTTGCTACTGAATAAAAACAAATCGATATGGATCTATTAAACTTATAAAATGTTATTACTGGATGAAGTGTAAAACTTGGATTATACTTGTCTGCTTTATCTACTTATTATTATGTAACCAGGGAGTTGTAATGTTTTATTTGGAAACATGAAATAGGTTTGATATACTCAGCATCATACTGACAAAAACAAAACCTAACGTCTGCAGCATTTAAAGGTGTGCAGTGGCGTAGCCAGGATCGTCTCAAGGGGGGGGGGGAGGTTCCAATTTTTACCCGAGGACAAACTTTCGATTTGCACCCCCTCCCTCAAACTTTTGATTCGCACCCCCCCCCCCTCAAACTTTCGATTTGCACACCCACCTCATACTTTATATATATATATATATATATATATATATATATATATATATATATATATATATATATATATATATATATATATATATATATATATATATACCGAGGGGTCTATGGGGGGTATGACCCCATTAACCCCCCCCCCCATGCCTACGCCACTGAAGGTGTGGACGAGTCTTCATGTCACAAACACTGAGCAAATGTATGCACCAGCACGACCGTGTTTCACTTGTCTAAGTATCCTTTAACATAGCTACGTCATACTGGCCAATAGTACACTGTTGTCAAACGATTAATTACGTCATCCCGCGCACACAACAAGTGACACATCACCCCGCCTACACCGGTGATGTCATACAATCACATCAAACATAGCCATATTAATCACGTGACCCAGCTTACACCAACGTACGGTCACGTGTAGACCTGGACCGAGTCAATACAACTGAAGAAGCTTCTATTCGTTAATCAGACGAATTCAGAGAAAAGGGATGACGGGAAGGAATATGCGGCATGTCTCGAAGTGAATTGTTTAATAGATCTGCGATCAATACAGCAGGGAAATAGAATGTTCGGCCTGGCTGTTTACAGTGGCTGTATAAACCTCTCGTGTATACAGTGGCCAGATAATACTTGTGTATACAGTGGCCAGATAATACTTGTGTATACAGTGGCCAGATAATACTTGTGTATACAGTGGCCAGATAATACTTGTGTGTACAGTGGCCAGATAATACTTGTGTATACAGTGGCCAGATAATTCTTGTGTATACAGTGGCCAGATAATACTTGTGTGTACAGTGGCCAGATAATACTTGTGTATACAGTGGCCAGATAATACTTGTGTGTACAGTGGCCAGATAATACTTGTGTATACAGTGGCCAGATAATTCTTGTGTATACAGTGGCCAGATAATACTTGTGTATACAGTGGCCAGATAATACTTGTGTATACAGTGGTCAGATAATTCTTGTGTATACAGTGGCCAGATAATACTTGTGTATACAGTGGCCAGATAATACTTGTGTATACAGTGGCCAGATAATACTTGTGTATACAGTGGCCAGATAATACTTGTGTATACAGTGGCCAGATAATACTTGTGTGTACAGTGGCCAGATAATACTTGTGTATACAGTGGCCAGATAATACTTGTGTGTACAGTGGCCAGATAATACTTGTGTATACAGTGGCCAGATAATTCTTGTGTATACAGTGGCCAGATAATACTTGTGTATACAGTGGCCAGATAATACTTGTGTATACAGTGGCCAGATAATTCTTGTGTATACAGTGGCCAGATAATACTTGTGTATACAGTGGCCAGATAATACTTGTGTATACAGTGGCCAGATAATACTTGTGTATACAGTGGCCAGATAATACTTGTGTATACAGTGGCCAGATAATACTTGTGTATACAGTGGCCAGATAATACTTGTGTGTACAGTGGCCAGATAATACTTGTGTATACAGTGGCCAGATAATTCTTGTGTATACAGTGGCCAGATAATACTTGTGTATACAGTGGCCAGATAATACTTGTGTATACAGTGGCCAGATAATTCTTGTGTATACAG